GTATTGGGCCAAGGAAAACCGCAATTCACCGAGTTGCAATGTAACCCACCAAACATGCTTTGGGCTGGTATGAAAACTTATTTGATTGGCACCTGTTTCTTCGATAGACATGTCAATGTCTTGTATGAAGATACGTTAGAGATTCGGTTAATACCACAGTTTAGAGGCTGAAGAATCAGAATATACGTGGCTGCGATGTTATGGAGTATCTCCACATTTCACCGTCACTGTGCTTGTCATTTTGAACAAATATTTTTGAAGCCACTGGGTTGGCTGTGGTTCACCAACATTTCCCACACCATTATCCTTGCCACATCATAGTCCTCATCTTACAAAACTGTACAACTCTTTGTGGGGAATTATCAAGGACCATGTGGCGGCACACTGCCGTCGCGACATTGACGAATTGTACGGATCTATGGAACACATTTACAACCACCCTCCCACTCGCGTTTTTCTGCATATCGCACGGAGCATGGCACTTCATCAGACTGTATTTCTAACACAACGGTACACACACAGATCCAGTTGATATGCAGTGACTCTTGTCACATGGTAAGTTAGGTAGCGGTACAGTGACTATTCGGCCATTCTGTATATAATCGTGTTCTTGTATACTAGTAATATTTAACATCTTAAACTGTTATGTGAATAGCGTGGCACATGGAGCAATAGAACTTGAAAGGCGACTCCTGTTTTGCCACTTTATGGTCCAGATATTGTTCGGTTCCTCTCATAAAGAGAGATGAGGTCTAAGGAGAATACTTTGTTGAATTCAAACCATTGTTAAACGTGTAGCTGTGCAGAACTAATGAAATTTACTGTTCCACTAGTTTCTTTGTTTCTTCAAATACCCTCAGAATACGAATTTCATGAAATGTTTCAGAAATAAATGCTGAGAAAGAACTGGAAAACAAGAAAATTGCTTTGAATGACCTAGAAGAAGCGTTTCATACTTGGAACAGAGAAATTGAAATCGTGGCAGAGAAGAAAGGAGAAGACGTTAGGAAAATGACCCCAAAGAGTATGTATGGTTTAAATCTATGTTTGTAATAAGGCGAGCAGTGTAGACTTTGAATCTCATCAATATCATACTCTGTCAATTAATGTGTTGGTACATGTCCCTTTAAAATTTCATATATTCTGACCAGGACTCCCTTCCAGTTAACCTTCAAAATTCGTTCTTATCTCTGAGTTACAGATGAAGATTTGAAGTTGTATATTGACAGCTAGGCACAAGATCCCGGGGACAAGGACTCATTCTGTTCTGCATTCTGGTGTGAAGAGAAATGTAGATGTACTGTGTTTTCTGTGTTTAGTTCAAGATCCATTTTAGTTACTTATTTTGTTTTCTGATTACAACTGAGAATAACTTTGTACATGTTTGTCAGATGCCATTGCATATCTTGCGCTTCGTAAACTAGTGACAAGATGACACTTGGTTCCTTGGGTCCCGCACGGTAAATGCCGTTTTTTGAAAATGTACGCTGTTCAAGAGCCAGACTGTGTAGTGCCAATGCAAGTTGTTCATGAAGATTAATTTTTCCTGATGCGCAGTATTCAAGTCAGAGTCGTAAAGACTGCAAATTCCTCTTTGTAATTTACTGCGTCATTACATACTACGACAGAAATGGAAATTGACGCTTTGGATGGCTTGAAACATTTTATATGTTCTTCGTGGGTGCACATCTTAATTTTGTTGTTTTCTGAAATACCCTCAGAAGAGGAATTACACATAGTGCCATGAATTGTTACAGAGGAAGAGTTGAGAGACGATATTCTTGCTCTACAACGTAAAGTTAAGGAACGTGAATCTGATATTTCTGCTCTGACCATGGGGAGTAAGCTGTTAGATTTGAAGGTGTCAGAGCTGGAGAAGACGATATCTGAAATCAACACAGAAAGTATGTTTGTTCTTATTATATTGATGTACTAATGCGGAGAGTAGAGGCTGTAGAGGTCCTCGATATGATATTCTGTAAATTAAAATGATAGTGGGTGTCTCTTTAGAACCCCACTTTTTCTGCCCGTCAGTCATTTACAGTTACCTTCAATATTTGTTCTTCTGTTTAAGTTAGGGTTGAAGTTTCTTCTTTCTTTCTTGAGAAGACGATGGATTAGTGTCCTAATTTTAAAAGCTTTGGCTTTCAAGGATGAACCGCGTAAATTGTTGAAAACTATGCAATTTTTTTGAATAAATTGTAGTTACTATCTCAACCCTGAAGTTATTTAAACAAACTTTGGATAATTTTCGCATTTGACAGCTCATCCCCCATATTCAAAGTTGCGTATTAACAGCTAGGCGACAAGGACTGTGATATTTTGTTACATTGTTGACGTTAGAGTGACCTGTCTTTTTTCCGTGTAGAGTATCAGTCACCCGTCTGAAAACAAAATAGATCAGATCTGTTTTCATTAAGTGGCATTGGATAGGCATGTCTCTTATAAGTGTGCCTGACCGTAATGAACTTTGCACAGCTTATTTCTTCTTGGAGGATTTTCTTCCGCACTGTGTGTTTAAATTCTGTTTATGAATATCCTTCTATTCATGCCCATCCTTTTAGAGAAACAGTTCTTCCAGACAAAATTCTTTATGCATTTCTTACCTCTTCCATGCGTGCTACCCATTGATTTGTTCGTGCCTTGTGATTGGTGTACAACATGATGCTTCACATTATTCTATTGCCCTTCCTGCTGTTAGTTCCCTCATTATAGGTATGGTATTTTTCTTGGCATCCTGTTCTCAGGTATCTTGTTCCTCTTTTCTGTGTGGTCTGGGCTCTGTACGCCATGCACCTTTGTCATTAAAATGGTTGTGTCCTGTGTAATATACAAGTTTTAGTTTTATGGATTGCAAATTGCTATTAGTAATATATTGCTCAAGTGAGATTGTGCATTTTAGAAAATGCTGTACTCATGTGGCACAGACTTATACGAGGAGCGATCGGAAAGTTTCCAGACTGTGTCAATAGAGGGCGAACCGGATGTAGTACGAGCTTCTGCCGCTAGGGGGTGCGGCCTACATTCATAGTGAATCAGTGTGCCAGCCGGCATCATCGAATTAGCATTTGTTTCTTAGTTACGGGCGTATTGGTAGTGAATTACACCGACCCTCCTGCGATTTCGGAATGGCGTGTGCATCAAATTTGGCCAAAGACTCGCCAAAACGGCTACGGAAACCTATGAAATTCTAAAGCAAGCATTTGGGGAGTCCGCAATGGGTCGTGCACAAACTTTTGTGTGGCATTCACGTTTTAAAAATGGCCGAACCTCTGTCGATGATGACGAGCGTTCTGGACGACCATCTTCGAGCACAACGCCCGAAAATGTTACGAAGATTCGGCAGGCCATTCACAAAGATCGACGTCGTACCATCAACGACTTGTGCGACATTGTTGGGATAGGCTATGGGACCTATCAGCTGTTTCTAAAGGAAGAACTCCACATGCGACGCATCCTGTCTGAGGACCAGAAGCAGAATCGACTTCTCGTTTGTCAGGAGCTCAAAGATCTTGCAAGAACCGACCCCAACATCCTTTCTAAGGTTTCCTCTTCCCAAAGATGAAAATTCAGCTAAAGGGAAGAAGATTTGAGACGATAGAAGAGATTCAGGCAGAATCGCAGATGGTGCTTGACAGGCTGACAAAGAAAGATTTCCAGGGATGCTTCCAGGCTTGGCAGCGGCGCTGGGATCGTTGTGTTCACTCCCAGGGGAACTACTTCGAGGGTGATGGATGAATTTAATACCTGAGATAAGTGTACGGGTTTTTATAGGCGCAGTCTAGAAACTTTCCGATCGCACCTCGTAACCCGATCTTTAAGCACAGATTTAAATAATTGGTCACAGTTGGAAGAATGACTAACTCTTGTCACTGTTTATTTTTTAATTTTTATTATTTTTTGTTTTTGTTCGTTTTTCTAAACATGCAGTTATGGTTTTTAACTCAGCCTAATTCCTTATCCTTGTCTTTATAACTTATCCGTCTAGCAAATCTCTTCCCCACACCAAGAATATAGGCAGCAGGTTCCTCCAAGAAGTTTGTGGCTATATACAGGACTATGTGGTGCTCTATCTTTGATGACCATCATCTGAATTGTGGCTGTAGTTAATGCATTGAATCCCACGTATTTATTTATCACGCAGGCGTTATAACATCAGTGAACTATGCTTACTTCTCCTTACATTACACAAAACACTGACGCTAATGGAGATTTCTTATGCCTAAATTTTTGTATATCCTTGAGCACAATTCTTAATTGTGGGTGTCCAATATAACACAAGGGCTCTAAATGTTCATTTTCTAATTAATGATGTGGTATACTAATAATATTTAACGTCTTAAATTAGTATTTGTGATTGTAATCCATTGGGTAGTGGAATTGAAGAAGCCACTGTGCTCTTTCCTGCATTGTGACTAATGAATGGTTGGTGATCTTTTGTTCAAGAGAGAGTCCATGGAGAATGCTCCTGTGATTTGAAACCCTTGTTAAATCTGTGGTGTAGCATTCCATTTTGTTAAGTTTTGTAGGTTTTTCTGCCTGTCACTTTTCACACGCACTGTTTGGTTTCTGTTCACTTGAACAACATGTTTCGAACCAATGTGGCCATCGTCATGTTCAGTACTCTGATGTCATTGCGCTAAGGATCTCATCCTCAATGTCTGGATATAATTATAACTATATATTAAAATTTATATAATTTTGTTACATCATTTAAAAGGTTAAATGCTGAAACGATTATCAGTATGTTTTATTCTTTTATTTTTAGCACAGCCTGGTAAATCTTGGTGTGTTTCTTTCCCCTGTAAACAGAAAACTAATTTTTGTGTGTATGTGTAGTAGTGGATTATACCTACCACTACACATACTTACTAGGATACTTGGACAACCCGTTCTTCAAATGCCTGAGCACTGCGGGTCCCAACGTTTTGTTGGTTTTGATCTATAGACATTTCGTAGGACTCCTTGGACGAGGGATCGGCCCGTCGCAAGGTCTCTACCTGTACACAGGACAGCATAACACAGAAAAATGTGGACAAACATCCGTGGCTTGAGTGGGATTCGAACCCACGGTCCCAGTGACCAAGCGGCACAAGGCCCAGCCTCAGACCGCGCGACCACTGCGACCTCACCACTACACATACGTATTAAAAATAAATTAATAAATAAAAAGGCTCGCCGGGGTGTTTTAAAAACAAATACAAAAATATTGATAATCATTTTAGCAATTTAACTTTTAACTGAATGAACAAAATTGCAAACGTTCTAGTATGGTGTTAATTATTTCTGGGCACTGGGGACGAGATCTCGAGTGCAATGACATCGAAGCACCGAACATGATGATGGCCACATTGGTTCAAAACATGTTCAAGTGAACAGAATGTGTGAAATGTGACATGCAGCAATACCAAAAACTCTTGTTAAATATGTAGTTATGTGTAAATGATATAACATGCTGTAGCACATGATTACATACAGGTATTAAATGTTACAGAACTGAAGGCTGAGAGACAATCTGAAAATTATCTCAGTCACATGAGGAATGTGGAAACATCATATCGTACTCTGACTGAAGAAGTTGTGGAATTAAGGAACGAGAATGCAGCGCAAGCACAAGAGATCCGGAAACTGAAAAAAGTAATTACAGCTTAAATATGTGTATGTACTAAGGTGAAAATTGTGGATTATAAATCTCCTCAGTATGTATTCTGCTCAGTTACAATGTTTGTGCACGTCTGTTTAGAAGTCCATATATTCTCCTTAGTGTTCTTTCAACTTCCTTCAATATTTACTCCTCATTCTTAGTAGTTAGGGTCGAGGATTTGCTTCTGAAGGAGATGAGAAGTTTCTGTGGTATTTTGAGCAAATTTTGGCTTTCAGGGATGAACTTTGTCAAATGTGGAAAGTTATCCATTGTTTCTAAAATTATTTCATTTACTGTCTCTGGTCGCCAAGACGTCAAGTGCAGTTGTAGCCAAAACATGGGATAATTTTCGACTTTTAATGTGACGATATGAACTGTCACATTTTATTACTTAGTTCAGATTAGAATGATGTATGTTTATGCCATGTATGGTAGCAGTCGCAAATCTGAAAACTCAAAACGAGTGATATCTCATCTTCGTGTCTGGATGCTGTGGTAGGAATGTCTTTTGATTGATATGTGTTGCACATTATCATTGAAACGTCATGGAGAAGAACCCTCTTTGTGAAGTGAATAATTGCCCTTCTAGTCATTAAATTTTCCACCGCTCATGGAACCCAAAGGTTGATTTCCATTTTCACAAAAGCACATTTCTTGTACTTCACACACATTTTCTGAGCTCTCCAATATCCTTGGTATCTTCTTGTCTGTGTGAAGAATTAAGGCAGAGCCACCCTTTGTAATGCCAGACATCTTTTTTATTTTTATTTTTTATATCTTAATTGCGTCATGTTTGTGTTTTATTGATACAATATTTTTATTTTCCGTCTATACACAAACTTAAAATAATGTTGTTTAAAATTATAACATTCTCAGTAGACACTGCATCATGCAAGTTGCAGTTTACCGTCTCTTAATATCGGACACACAACACATCAATTACAACCCGATATAAAACATCCAAGTACAACCTCCAAACCAAAAGGAAGAGAAAAAACTTAAAATTAAACAAATTAAAATAATCAATAAACGCAACGCAAAATGTACTACAGTTTTTAAAATATATTAAAATTGATAGACCTGATGATGATGTAATACACATTGAAACATGTCGTCGAATACAAAAAATGTAACATGATGCAGTGTCTACTGAGAATGTTATAATTTTAGATAATTTTAAACAACATTATTTTAAGTTTGTGTATAGACAGAAAATAAAAATATTGTATCTTTTTTATTGATAAGAATGAGTGTTTCCCAAAGTGCAGTATGAATATCCTATTGGTAAAGACAGCAAATACAATGGTATTTCTCAAAGGCTTCGGACTGTAACCAGAACTGACTCCTAACCTTGTAAGATGGAAAATATCTAGTTAATGGTGGAAAAGTTACTATTTTAAATTCAAGAACTTTTGTCGCTGTTCATTTTCTTGCACCTGAATACCCAATACTCTTGTTCTTCTCGGCCAAGTTCTGCCTTTCCTGCCAATGTACCAGATTTCTGTCACATCGTAGATGTGGCAGCAAGGCTCCTCCAAGAATACGGTAACCACTTGCATGGTGTCAAAATGCAGAAGACCGCAGATGATCTTGTGAAAATAATTTGTGTTGAACATTTGGTACCAGACCCTTCTTTCATGTAGGTCGCATGAGACAAGTCAGTCACAATTACTTTTGTTTCTATTACATACATCACTGAGATTGAATTAGATTTCTGATGATTTGAAGAACTTTGTATGTCCTTGGGCATAGTTTGTAATTGTTTTCATTGTGTGTGGTTTTTGAGATCTCTCCCATTTTAATATTACATCTGGCTTTAAATTTTAATGCTCCAAATAAACATGTTAGTAATAATTACATTTGTAGACAATTTTTTTTGGATCGTTAGACGTGGGTTAGGTGATTTACAGAAAACCTGGTACTCAGTTCCCGCTTTTGATTAAGAATAGTTTGAGGTCCAGGGACACAGAGATGGTGCCTGAAGATTTGCTGTCTTGATTTCAAAGCCTTCTTACATTTATAGACCTACGTAGGAATGGTGCTGTGCTGTAACACAAAGACTCTTGTTGTTTTGTTTTTTTAATGCAGTTATAGGAGTAGGAAATCGACAAACAGTTTCAGAGAGACTTATGAAGTTCAGTCCCTTCAAGAACGAAACAAGGATCTGGAGGCTGCGGTGTGGCAGTTTGGAGCCATTTGGAATGTTGTGAGCATCAGAAAGTGTCAGCTCTTAAGCTTCCTGTTATGCAGTATTCTCAAATTCCAGATTTTGCATTTTGTGGCTGTAACCACAGTGACAATCTGTGATATGGTAAGCCATTTTAATTAATTGTCCTTGTTTGATTAATTAACGTAACTATTTGTGTTTAGTTATGTTCTGAGGAAGCAGCAAAATATCTCGTGTTCTGCAGATCTGAAGTGTTACTGTGCGTGGTTGCGTCTGCGTGTTTCATTTCCAGAGCTTGTGTGGTTCTCAGTGAACTTTTGATACTGGGGTTCTCTACTGAAAGTTGTCAGTTTAATTTTAATTTATGTAATTTCAATGTCACAAGGGCTGTAGTTGATGCAGGGATTATTGCACTGGAGTGGTATCACATGTAGACTGTGTAGCTTAGTGACAAGCGGGGTTTGAGGCTCCAGCCCTCCCTACATAATATAGGCAAAGAATGTCTTTGTACGAGGGTGAGTCAAATGAAAACCGTAAAACTGAGATAAAAATTCGAAATATCGCGCCATTGTCCTATAAGTTGGCAGACATTACTGCCCGTGCAACAATCCAGGACTTGCACTTTGAGTGTCTTCCACATCCGCCATACTCACTAGACCTAGCCCCAAGTGATTACCACATGTTTGGGCCACTCAAAGAGGCGATGGGAGGAAAGATGTTCCGTTCCGATGAAGAGGTACAGCAGGCGGTGCATGAGTGGTTGCGCAGACAACCACAGAACTTTTTTCTAGATGAATCCATTCACTTCGTAAACGCTGGAGGGCCTGTATTGAACGAAATGGAGACTATGTAGAAAAATTATATAGTTGTGTACCGCTTTCACTCAATAAATTAAATTTAAAAAAAAAATTACGGTTTTCATTTGACTCACCCTCGTAAAACACACATGATGCCAGTGGTGTACACATTGCATTATTAGAGCATTAGGTCTGTGAATTGTTCTGCATTGTCAAGGACAGAATTATTATTGTGTTCAATACTGATTAAGCCAAACCACCACAGCACTGTAATTAGCACTCCTACTTCATATTCAGTAAATCCTGATTTTAAATCCGTGTGAAATTATACCTTGTCATGGCTGGAGTTTTCTGTGAGTTTCCACAGTCCCTCCCTAAGGTAGTTCATTAAACACGTTATTAGATCTTGCCTTCAAATTATTTCCAGTTTATCTTTCAGAATTGTCTTACTGTTTGCTTTTAGGAATATTAGTAAGTACACCAAGAATCATTTGGTGGTCAAGATTAATTATATCGTTGGTAAAACAGAATTGCATAACTTGCTGGCGTTGATTTGGTTCATCGCCAGTTTCAACATACCTGCCACTTGGTATAGTGTATATTTTTAACAAATGATTGCATATATTGATGTAAATATGTCCTTATTTTAAGCGCCTAAAATAGCATTCTGCAGTTTCTGAACACTCGATCTCTGGTTATGGCATATAATGATTAAATTTTAAAATAAAAGGAGTGAAGATTTGGTGAAGAAAACAGGAGGATTTTGTATAAGGCACATAACAAAAGAGAATGTGATAAAAGAGCTTCAGAGACAAGAAATAAGGAAATAAAAATATAATTTTTTATATGCATAGAATAATAATGATTGACATATGACTAGATAGAGCTAATCCCTATCCCTATCTTGGGCCCAATTCTGTAGGAACCTGAAGACGGAGATAGAGTCCCATCTCCAAAACGTCGTTTTACGTTTTATATTTACTAGACGATGGATAATATCCAAGGAAATTTTTATTCAATTAACTCTTCACCATCGTCAAGAAGTTTTAGATTTGATAGACATATTTATGTGTTTGGCTGTTAGCAGAGGCACAAATTATAATATTCAGCAAGCAGCGAATATATATCACATGATAAGATAACATGATTTTTCATGTCTCTTTTCAGCAGGTGTTGAAACGGCGTCAGATCCATGCCTTGCTTTTCCCGGATAAATGGTCGTCTCGAGCCTGGGTTACGTGGCAATGTCGCCTTTAATTTACGTGTCCAGCTTGACCATGAAGAATAATGGGAGTTAAGAGATGTCTGTTGCAGAAGAATTTTAGGCTAGAGAGAAACTGGCTGACCAGAGCTAAGGAATGAGGAGATAGTGTGGGCCTTATAAGCCAAACAGGGATTCATAGAGGATGCCAGGAGCCCTACTTAGGTTATGCGTACTCTCTTTTGTTTTAGGGTGCAGTCAGGTAGGGTTCCTGGTCCATGCCTACTCAATTCCTGAGCTCTGGTTGGCCAGTTTCTCTCTCCCCTTCCAAACAACCTTATTTCAGCCCCGAAGATGGAGGCAGTGTGTTCCTCTGAAATGTTGTCTTTCAGCATTACGGTCGAGAAGACCAACATTGACATCTCCCCTGCCTCATATGTGAGCGTCCGCTCACAATGGGGAACTGTCTAATAATGAATAATGTTCCTGTAGTCAGTATCATATTACATTTATTATAACAGTTTATTTACACTACATCTGAGAGTTTGTACATATTATTCAGATTTTTAGAACAACATTTGTATCTTCTAACCAGAAGTATTATAATTATGTATATATTGATAAATTAGAAGTCACTGAAAACAGAAGAAAAAATAAATAAAATTGAGATTCATATTTTATATTCTGTCTAGAATTGTTGTGGTTATTAGCCCTTTGAAACCAAAGCTGGTCTTAACAGAATTTAAGAATCAAGTTCTTACCTCAAAGAAAACGTGGAAGTTCATCATTGCAAAGATCAATTGGTTAGTGGTGTTTAGGGAAGTAGTAACTTTTTGTAAGATTTGAGAATTATATATCGGTGACTAGGTATTACTATGGGATGTGTTAAGATACTAAATACTGCAATAGTTGCTGTTAGGTTTCACTAATGGTCACTACTTATAGTTTTACCAAGGAGAGGCTAGTTTAAACAGATTGTGGGTATTTCCCACGTGATTTACACAAATGAAGGGACAAAGAAAAAAAATGTTTCTCTTGGAGATACAACTTAGAGGAAGTTACAGGACTTATCTTTTGAAAACCAATCATAGTGATGTCCAAAATAATTGTACAGTGGTTTGTGTCTTCCAAATGTCACATAATAAGAATGGTCCTTTTGAAGAGATAACCTCAAAAAAGTTACCAAATGTTTGCAATTTTGAAAACAAGGTACAGAACAGCATGTCTTGGAGAAACTGGTGAACAATGTTTGTGTTGGACAGACAATGATAGGAAAATTATTCATTGTGTCTGTTAAAAAATTAGGCATACGGTAGGAGTGTCCAAAATACTTGGCATATTGCAGAAAAAGAAAATGAAATTCAGTTTCCCACATTACGAAGATTTTAATTTCAAGTAACTGAAGATAATTTAATGGTGCATTTTAGAAAAGAATTGCTTTGAATTTCACTGGGCATTGCTAGTGGAAGACATAAATGCAAGCTGAAGAATTCCATCTACTATGTCTCTCCTCTTAGAAGTGCTGTCATTGACAGGAACTACAAGTAACTAGTTAGAGATGGTAAGATGGCAATGCCACCAGCGTTCATGACAGGATGCGTCAATAGACGAGGGCAGGCAGCAGTAGAAGTCAGACTCTCCGATCAGTTATGCCTTTACAATTGGCGCCAGTGGTACAGTGTTTGGTTTCCCCTGCTACTTGGTCCATTACAATGTGGTGCTGGCAGTGTGATAATAGACACCCTCATTGCTGATACACTACACAAGAATAACTCATTCTAAGCAGTTGACTGTTAAAGGCCAACCATGTCTTTTTAGACACTGCAACCATAGAATTTAAGACGTGGCACACATTCCATCATGTAACATGAGCTTGTGATATTCCTGTTGGGTTCTAACTCGTGTAAAAAAATTAAAATTATTTACTTTCAGGACTTTTCCCATCGTCCTTGTTTAAATGAAGAAATCACGACGTTTCGGAAACTGGCTCTGTTTCCATCTTCAGACGAGAGGTACGTACTCAGTCGCGTTTGTCAGGTAGAGCGAGTCTCTGTCACTGGACCAGTGATGGAGGATGATGGAAAAAGTCCAGATACTGAATACTTTTAAGTGTAATCCACCATCGTCAGAACCCTTTAGAATCATGTAAACAATGTTAGTTAATTCTAGAAGTATGACTGTATCTACTGTTATGGTGTTATGTGCATTAGTTTCATCATTCACATAACAGAATTTATCGTACATAAATAAATAGCAGGAGATTTAAAATGTCTCCATTTTAGTGAAGAAAATATATTAGCAGGGCTGTATATAGATTAGAATTTAGAAGAGGAGCTTGTAGATGAGCTGGAACATAAATTCATTCTCATTGAAAATATAGCTAATAGCTTTCAGATGTTATGTGGAGGGCAGAGGAAGTATGAGACAGGTACAAAGATTTACAGGACCCAGTGTTGGTTTATAATGCAGCACCTGGCATTAAGGATTATTATTCTTCCATTGAACACTCCAAAGTTATCTTCATATAGTTTTTGAACACATTACTATTTGAGGTATATGTACGAGGGCTTACATTGCAAAGCAACGTAAAGACGCTATTGCTGATCGACACCTACACGTGGTACCATTATGCAGCTTGGAAGAAGGGTGAAGGATGTTGGTCACTAGATGTTCATGGATAATTAGAGACATTCACAATAAAATTCCTATCAAATATTAAAATATTACCATAATTAACATTTAAATATTTAAAATATATTAAATGATGTTCTTTATCGAAATGTTCGATTTACATTAGATCCCCCACTACAAACAACCACGATCAATAATGAACACTTCAGTTCAAACACGGCAATACTTCCAGACAGACGTAACTCCTCCACAACTTCATTTCTGGTATGTTTCAAAATTAAATCAAATATATTATTTTATTTTCTATTTCTAATTTATTAATATTCATTTAGTCTTTATATTATTTACTTTACAGGATGATACAAAAACAACAACAAAACGTTCACCCACACAAAATCATGTTAAGCACGACGTACATATACAGAACAACTTCGAATACGATATTAAAAATACAATATAATATATTTTAAATATTTAAATGTTAATTATGGTAATATTTTAATATTTGATAGGAATTTTATTGTGATTAGACTGACAAGATTTAAACAAATAAACAAACAGGAAAATTGCTTTCTGTGACAATGTTTGGCATAACAGAAGGAATGCCCCAAAATTATAAATGAAGAATGGGGTACTATGAGTAGAGATCATAGCAATGTCACAGCATCTTCATTGATGTTCCATCTGGAAATAAAGCATTGAAACAATGGGCAATAAAGGCCAAGAAAAAGGGGCTCAGAATGTTATCAAAAAGACACAAATAGGCATTGAGTGAAATCTTGTGAGGTCTGTAGTGTTGGGCTGAATATTTGTGTTGGAAACTGTACCACAAAACTGGCCTTTAAATGGCATGTTTAGGGGGCAGGAAATTAGTTGATAATGTTTGTGTGAGCATATAGCAGGAACAAAAGTAATACAGTTGTCAGAGGGAAAACACAACTTGGTATGATACTTTAACATTTCCACGTCAATATTAAAATGAAATCACAGTGTTTTCAAAATATGAATCTAATGGTAGCAGAAAATGTAAATGAGTGTAATATTCATTTCTGTTGTAAAGAATCTTACGAAGCGACAGCTTGGGGAACAATTCCATGTGGAAAAGGTTTTCTGAATAATATTTTATTTCACTTTCGTATGTGGATTTTTAAGAAAGATGCATTGTTTTATAGTAAGACGTAGCGCAACAGTGGGTTTGCGAGGATTTAGGCGCCTGGTGTATATTTTGAAGGTTAACAGCGTACGAAGATGGCTGAATATGCGATAGAAATACACACAATTTGTGTACCAGTTTGTTTACTGGACTACAATTTACACAAATAAATCGAAATATTTTGTCGCATGTTAAATCAGAGAGTGTTAATACGTATAAACGAACTTGACATTAGACCATGTTGCATAATGTCGAAGTAGTTTAATATGGCGCTATCGTCCATGATGAAATTTTAGTTTGACAAAATTATGAAATGTGGATGTTGAGGTAAGGTAGAATTTCTTTTCTCCGTAAAGCTGATTTATGATTCGTATATTTTATTTTTTTAGATACCGGTTACACTCTGTCACATTAATGTTCCGTACATCAGTAGTTTGTGGTCGGTGGTCTTACTGCATTTACATGTGTGTGTTTTGTATGATTTTAGAGGTTAGGGAAGATTGTAGTACGACTGTCAGTATGTGCAGGTGAGCATGCAGACGGTAATTTTTGCACAGTCTATTCTTACTCTGTATCGGCATTCAATTTGGGGTTTAAAACCAGTTTAGTCCCCGTGAAAGGAGCTTTTCTGTCATTGCAGAATGCAGACAATGTTAAAGTAGCAGCGTGTGAGACGTGTGAGGAATATTCCGAATTTTATTGCAGATCGAAAAGTATCGAAGCTTAACTTGCCCAAAAATATTATCTGCACACATCGTAATCTGATTATCAAGGTATACGAAATTCTTTCCAAATGATGTTAAGGTTGCCGCGTGTGGCATAATCGCAGAGAGGGCTCGTGCAGTTGCGGAGGCATAAGGCAAATATCATTTACATTTAATGGTTTGAGCGTCAGGACTAAGGCACAGAATGTAATTTTTGTTCGAATTTCTTGACTTTCAGTGGTAAAAGTACAGTTTTCTTACTAGATAGAACACAGGAATTTGTTAATGTTATGTAGAGAATTATTACAAATTATGTTTATTGGCATAGATGGTGGATCCTAAGGTTGGGGGGTAGACTGGAGGCCCTCAACATTTTAGACCTTAGGCATGCCTCTCCTTGAAACAGGAATTTATGTACAGAAGTAAAGTACTCATAACACACAATTTAGAATAATATTTGTTTGTTCTCTTGTTGAAGTTTTTTACCTGTGTATGAAATTTGTTAGGAATTAAATTGAATAACAAAGTTATTTGGAGTACAATTATAAGCGATCATATGGAATAATGATTGCTGGCATTTGGCAGTCCTTATGTTAATGATCTGATCAGAACAAGCTCTGTTTCTTCAGCAAATATTGAGGGGTCCTTCACACTAAGAATACTTGAACCATATGAGATCATCATTGTCACAGAACAGGTCTGAGATTATTATATTTTATGTACAGGACTCCTCAGAGATTGTTAATAAATGTTTATGGACAAAAACACTAGTTCTTTACTTGTTCTGTTTTTCATTTAGATTGCAAATTATGCTACCTTGTAAAATAAATAAAGAGGTTATGTAAGAATTGAATGTTGGATAACTGAAGGTTGTGTAATTGTAACTCTGCTGTATAATAGAGGAAGGTGATAAAAACGGTGTGCATATCAGCAGTGGTACTGACAACAAATTTAGAGGCTTTGTTGCCAATTATTGTGGCTGAGTGTTTATTACTCCATATTTGGTACATCCCAGGTTGAATTTTTGTACTGCGGATCAGCTACCCTGCCTGAAATTTTCATGGTTTTCTTCCATATTCCAGGCAAATGCTAGTATGGTACTTAAATTAGGCTGCAGCTACATCCTTTCATGTCCTTTCAAATTCACCGTTCATTAATTGTCCTAACATTTGATGCTGTGTAGTCTGAGGTCCTGATAGCACAACAAAATGAACTACAGGTAAACAGTGAGGCTTTGTTACAATTACAGCATGTAGCACACATGATTCAAGCTTAAAATCCAGTCTTTTATCTATGATAAAATGGAGGTAATTATACTTCTTTAATATTAACATGGCAGTGTAAAAGTGAAGATCTTTTCTCTGAAGTATGTCCACAAAAAGCTGGCGGAAGTTCTCTGTACTGATGGAAGAAGATCCATGCTGTTGCAGATGGAGAGGAATAAAATATGCCCTGCATTTCTGTTATTCAGCCTCTTTAATCATAGCAACTTATTCCACTGGCAATGATGTGAATGCATGACGATTTATTAAAAAATAATATTGCTTGAGATTTCAGGTTCTCATGGTGCCAAGTATGAAGATGGCTAACTTATGGGTTGTTGCATTGTTTAATTTGGTAGAAGTTAAACAACATTTTATAGGTGCTTGCTGTCCTCATTATTGCCCTGATGATGGAGGCAACAGGTACCCATGAAACCTTATCAGACTTCTACCAGACAACATGATGCAATAACTCAGAAGATGGCCGTCATCATTAATAATGTTGTATGTATACAGTTGTGTAAATATTATAGTTCAATCATCTGATATGTTAAAACAGACTGCACATGAGACAACTTCCTTCTGCATTTGGTTTCCATTAGACATCCCTCTGTTGTTTGTCAAGTATAATACTTAATTATATAATTAATATTTCCTTTTGAAGGGGAATTCAAAGCACGTTTAAAAGAACAAAATCCAGAATTCAATAACATGACTGTGCTTGTTCCTATGCTAACCTTGAATCAAACAGTTGTAATTCTGTTGTCTGCTAGTAGCGATGCGTGAGAAATGCTGCGTAATTTGATTTGAACCCCAACACAGCGTCCTACTTATGTGCTGCCACCTTCTTATTGTGCCCACAGAAGGCTTGGAACAGAAGTTGTTTATGAAATTTGAAATGGAGTCCCCAGTAAAGTTCCAGTCAACTGGCCATCATCCGCCAATATCTGCGGTGGTAAAAATGTACCATTAAGCATTGTAATCAAGTACGATACAACGTCATACCGTTTCATTTCCACCATCTGCACAAATAACTTTATGGAATGTTTAAATACTATACATCAACAGCTCTGCATTAAATGAAACGTACTGAAGTAAGTCAGGGAGACTGTTACTTAAGTTGAGCAGTATAAATGGCACCGCCACGGTGGTCTAGCGGTTAGAACGCTGGCCTTGTAATCCTGGGGTCTCGGGTTCGATTCCCGGCGGTGCCCAAATTTATAACTTGTGTTGGGCAAGGCCGTGGTCTAGGCAATACGGAGTTTTCCTCCGTGGCATCCCAACAATTACTCCATTCACACACAGAAGAAGGCAATGGCAAACCACTTCTGGATCATCTGCCAAGAACGTATATGAACAGGTCCCAGGCCGAGAAAAGGATGGAAGGATCCTGTTCATACGGACCTGTCGTCAGACAGAACACTAAAAAAAATTGGCAGCACGTGATATTTAGTGTTCACATGGGAAATTAAGTGTCCCAGCAACAAACGATTAGTGTCGAGAAACAAGTTCAGTTTATTGCCGTTTGGATAGCAACTGCACTGCAGCAATTGATTCCGTTTAACAATTTAATTTTTTTTCGTACTAGACACATGGAGTGTGTTTCTATTCTTCAGGTTTTAAAGATTAGGCCTTAATTGCGTTTGCCAGTTTAGAATATACTTCTGAAATTACGAATCCGTTTAGACATTTGGTAGGACTCCTTGGACGAGTGATCACCCCTAGACACCAGGCGTCCACGTGACGACAACACAACTTTGTTCTTATGAATTAATATTGGATATTGTCGTATCAAGACCTCCACGGTGGTCTAGCGGTTAGAACGCTGGGCTTGTAATCCTGGGGGTCTCGGGTTCGATTTTATAACTTGTGTTGGGCAAGGCCTTGGTCTAGGCAACACGGAGTTTTCCTCCGGGGTCTTCCCCGGTTTCTCCGTGGCATCCCACCAATTACTCCATTCACACACAGAAGCAGGCAATGGCAAACCACTTCTGGATCATCTGCCAAGAACGTATATGAACAGGTCCCAGTCCGAGAAAAGGATGGAAGGATCCTGTTCATATGGACCTGTCATCAGACAGAACACTACAAATAAAAAAAAAGTATAAATGGCAACATTCAAATTCCAACGTACCTAACGTGCAGTGTTCTGTGATCCTTGTCACATCATGTTGTTCCGGTTTTACTGGTTTTATCTTCTGTCTTCCTGTTGTCATTTCCAACCGCAATATTTTATATGATGGCTCATCAAGTCTCTAAGCATTCCAGCATACATTTCCTTGTAGAAGATCTACTGGCATGCAGTGGAAGTAGCATCTTATTAGCGGCTGTATTGCCATTTCTGCATATTAACATCTTTTACTAATGACTTTGCTCACAGATATGTGGAGTATGGAGCAAAGCAGGGGTGTGCTTCATTCTAACTTCAAGGGAACAAACTTATTTTTACAGAATACTGTGATGGAACCAAACCCTCTGAGTATTATCCTCGTCAAAAGCGACAGTAAGGGCGATCGCTTACTGTTCCGTTATCCATACGCTGCAGACGCTCGCAATGAAGCGGGGCACCAGAGCCGACGCCGAAACCCGTATGCCTTGACAATAACTGAGGACCTGCTGCAGACACCTCCTCCGCAGACTTCGAACATCTGCAAGGGTCACCTCACTGGCTTCTCGGATGAGGTTCTCTCTACGTTGTTTGCGGTGAAGCCAGAACTGTGTGAACGCAAGTTTGAGCTGAAGGTGAATGATGTGCGTTTCGTGGGGCACCCTACCCTGCTCAGCGATTCGATCATCCTGACCAACATCGTGTTTGCACTCCATGCCACGGCCAGCCACTCCATCGTCAAATGCTACTACGACCTCAGCAAGCGACTTGGCGTCGCACTTCGGCATGAAGAGCGGCGCTGCGGCTACCTCAGCCAGGAGACGAAGACCATGGTCATGGCTCATGATGAAGTGTCAGCCAGGTGAGATCTTATCCCATTCAGACATGTACAGTGAAACCCCCATTTAGATTTTACTTTGGGAACAAGCATTTTGTACCTTAATTGGGAGTTATATCAAAATGAAACAAAAATGACTTGTTTGGTTATAAAAACACCTACGAAGTTTAGGATTTTTATGGTGATAGAACAAATAAGGTACAGGTGTAACAAGAAAAGGGATGCGTGCGTACGTAGCAGGTGCGTTAGTTCTTGAAACAAACCAAAACCAGCACTAAAATTCACATGTGAAAGTTCACAGTGGGTTCACAAGCACAATGTTCGAACTCCACGATCAGCTCACAAAAGAGTGCCTCATCAGGCCACGTGGCTTTTCTGAGTGGGCGACTGCAATGAGCAGGGTAGGAAGAGACTTCGCATTTTTCTTGTGGCTTCAGACTCATTGGTGTTGATGGTGAATTGCACACATTGTTCACATAAACACTGATCTGTAGTCCAGATTTTGTGTACAGACCTGAATGTCATTCCTTGAAATCAGGGTAATACCTTAAATCAAGAAATACTAAACCAGCGCAAACTGCGCATTGCATTATGTGGATCTGTGGGTGGGACCACAAAAATGAACGAAAGATGCATAAAAAGTGACAGTGGAACCACGGTTCCGGAGAATTTGACGTAAATACGTCTATACGGAAAGGAAGTTTATATATTGGCTTTATTCTAAATATTTCCTTTATACCTGCTTTACAATTGAGTAAACCTTCATTAAGACTTTGCTTATTTAACTTGAATTAGTTATGCCTAAGATGGGTCTGTGGTAGCTGAATGTAATGTAAAGTAATTTAATGTTTTATAGGTAACAACAATGCCGAGTAAACAATTGAAATTGGAATTTCTCTGTACACATTTTCCTCTCATGTATAATTGTGCTCTTTATGCAAAGAATGCGATGCAGTAACATGTAAACTTGTCAGTGGTTCAGCGTGAGTTCTTGCTTTGTGCAGGCCAGAGGGGGAGAAGGCAGATGACGCAGACACTCCGTTTGACCTGATTTTGCAGCGTAGCACTCTGGCACGCAACTTGAAGTCTGTGTATGACGACCTGATCTCAACGGGGCTTGTGCACGTACGTGTCAACAGGTGGATCGAAGTGAGTTTCTGCCTACCACAGAAAGTGCACCAATTCTACAAGAAGGACTTCATCATTGAACCTGAGTCTATACACAGGTGACTACACATATTGTTTGTCGTAAGTGTTCGGAAAATCAGGAGGAAAGAGTTATATTCTCTCAACTTTGTCTTAAGGCACTGTCACAAGCACAGGTCAGTGATGAGAGGTTGTTTCACTTTCTGACCAGAAGTGGCATAAGTGAAACATTTGTACTCCTCCCCCAGTATTGTCAGGGTGATTAAGTGTAGAAGAATGAGATGGGTGGGGCATGTAGCGCACATGGATGAGACAAGAGGTGTGCACCGGGTACTGGTTGGGAAGCCTGAAGGGAAGAGACCGCTGGGGAGACCTAGACGTAGATGGGAGGATAATCTCAGGCGGGATCTATGGGAGATAGGAGTTGAAGGAGACTGGATTTTGTTGGCCCAGGACAAGGTCCGGTGGAGGGCTTTGGTTAATTCGGTGATGAACCTTCGGGTTACGTATGCCATCTAGTTAGTTAGTTATATTATACTAAGGTTAAGGATAGTGTGTTATCTGTAGTGACATTAATTTTCTAACAGCAAGTGTCATATTTGAATTTAAAAACCAATGCGTCTTACAAACTTACAACAAGAGCATTTAAGAAGTACGTGTTCTTTAAGCTGCATAATTCAGATTAACTAGAGCCGGTTTTCGCATTGTGAACTAGGCGTCTAAAGGGTGGCGGATTGCCTGGCTGTACGTAGTTACCGTGAGATTGATTTTCGCACTTTTCCAACAGACAGAAGCGCATAAGTGGCCGGACTATTGTGAAAGGAAGGAAATTCAGTTTGACTGTGTTTTGAATTCATTTAAGTGTTAATCCATAAAGGGTTATGGGCAATAACACATCTGATTTGTATTCTAAATCTTCCTGATGTGTTTTCACCGCTCGAGAAGTTTGCCGAGCAAGAGACCACTGAAATATTTTAATTCACGCTTATCAGTTGTCTGGGATGTCATCAGGTGTCTCCAGTCACTGCGTCCATACCACGGACTGCTGCTGCTGGTGGAGTCGAACGAGCTGTTGGATCACATGCACCCTGATGCCTCACCTGCTCTGGTGCGCCTCATTCGCATGTATAGCCCCCTCAAGAGCTTGCAGACGTTGGCTGCAGATGCTGACCTGACATTGTCCCAGGTTTGTTTTTGACAGGAATGAACAGAACATGGGAATTATGCTGCATTTCATGCTTAAAATATGTTGTACATTTCTTTAGGTCTGAATGTGTTATATCCGAATACACCTTCGTGTGTATTTCTATTGTAAAGTGACTTCATTATAAAGCAGTTTCCTTTTCAGAACTTACGTGCAGGCACTATGTAATTTATTTCTGGACTGAATGGATGTAATTACAACATATTCATATTTATGTATTATGCTGTTTTCTGTCCCTCCAAGATTTACAAATAATATTTGGACCTTTGAGAATGGATGTGACATGACACAGGAGAAAATTACACCTTAGGAGCTTACTCTTCACCAAATATTAGTGTCATTAAATCAAGTAGAATAAAATGAATATGGAATGTAGCCTGTTTTGTATAAAATTAGAAATGCACACAAAATTGTGGTCAGAAACCCAAAGAGAAGAGACCAGTTTGGAGGCTAAGCATAAATAGAAGATAAATCTATTGTTAAAGGAACGGTATATGAAGAAGTAGACCGGATTCGTCTGACTCAGGATATGTTCCAGTATTGGGTTCTTGTGTGGTAATGCACAATCAGAGGTTCCCCTCAAAACCGGGGAATTTCTTGCCCAGCTGAATGGGTGTCTGTAGTACGATTTGAGGTTTTCACGGCGGTGAGTCCAGTGAAGGCCGTCTTCTGGGTTTTCGCGCTTTGTAATCTGGTAGAAGTTTACCAACGTTTCAGAGGTCCTTGCTGCCTCCATCATTACTGTGATGATGGAGGCAGCAAGGACCTCTAAAACCTCAAGAAGGGCTTTCATTGTGGGGTTATTTGGTACACCTGTGTAATAGGATCTCCTTTGACAGATGAAACAATCACTGCAATCTCCACAACAAAGGACAGTCCATAATAGAGTCTCTCTATTCTTTTTGTTCTTTTGTAATGAGAAAAACATTTTACATTGTAGTAGTGTTGTTGTAACATATACAAACAGATAATTTTTTTTTTAAGTTTGTTTCACCGAGTTCAACTTATGAACTGCTTGTTTTCATTGTATTATTACTTGAATGATGTTTTTGAAATGTGGCCTTCTGTTTTGTGGAACTTGATGTTCACAGATGTTCCAGTTGGCTGGCCACCTCTTGTACTGGGCTAAGGCAACTGTGATCTATCCTTTATGTGAGAGCAATGTGTATGTCATTGCCCCAGATGCGCCAACACATGTAAATTCTCCCCTCACGGAACGATTCTCAGAGCACTTTCCAGGCATGAACCTTTTGCAGGTAAACATTTTAATGTTTTGTGCGTTAGTCCACGGATCTCTTAAGATTAAGCTTTATCAGTTGTGTGTCAACATGTCGCTGAAAAATTAACCCCCGAGTCAGTTGGACGAGTAACCCCATAGTACAGGGGTTTAAACTGTGAGATGGATAGCTCAGTCGGTATAGTGACTGGCTATGGGCTGGGAGATCGGGGTTCAATCCCCAATGGGGGCAGAGGATTTTCTTCTAGCCTCTGCATCCAGACCAACTCTGAGGCCCACATGGCCTCTTGTCCAATGGGTACAGGAGTAAAGCGCAGCTGGGGCATGCTCCTGACCACCTACCCCCTTCTAGCGCTGAGGTGAGAATGAGGAGGAGCTATTCCTCCTCTCTTCTAAGTGCCAACATTGGCATGTGACGGGATGAGGGGTTTAAACCACCTTTTATCTCGATTATAAATGTTAAAATCCATTGAGACCGTACGCAATATTCTGTAGACTGGATGACAGAATAAATCCTTTCAAAATGTGATATTGTGAAGTGCTTCGAAAAGAAAATTTCCAATCAAAATCATATTGTTAACAAAATTGGGAGAAAATTGAATTTACGAGAGGCTGCTATCATGTCATTCAGGGTCTTTTAATTGTGTCCTGTGTAAAAATGTACAAAACTCTTATTTTATATGGGTGCAGAACTTGGTCTCTCACTCTGATGGATAAACACAGATAGTGCCTTAGAACAAAGTGCCAAAGATAGTATTAGAATATATCTCAGAGAAGTGGGATTTGAGGGTGTGGATTGGATTAAATTAATTCAAGATAAGGTCCAGTAGTTGCCTTTTGTGAACACAGTGAAGAAACTTCAAATTTTATAAAGGCAGGGAATTCATTGACCAGCTAAGTCATTTTCAGTTTTTCGTAAAAAATTCTGTACCGTGTAGCTAAGTTAATAGAATTAGAGAAGCATAAAGGTGTGCGTTTAGGCTCGGCTGTTTCTCACTGTTTCTTGTTCAGAGTCTATTATTTAATCTCTTTTCTGAGACAGATATTGAACTCTGTTGCCAAACTGACAGGTGATGAGTGACTTCTCGCTGCCAACTTCCATCAGCCAGAAGATGAACCCTCTGAACCACCCGCAGCATCAGAAGCAGCTTGTGCAGATGATAGTGTGGATGCTGCAACATCGATTGTTACTGCAGCTGCACACTTATGTGTACTTCATGCCGACTGCCAGCGGGCCCAGTCTGCCTCAGGTATGTGTATTCAAGTCTTTGAAGCTGCAGCGCATCTAAATAATATTTAAGAATTCAGACCCTACTGCAAAGAAAACATGAATTAGAGAAACTATCTTCATTGGGATTCCAACCTAGGACGGATTGAAAGTGTCGTGGCCTTTTCTCCTGTAATTTCCTCACCGAAACAAACAGCTTTGGTGTTGGTGCCATTTTTCTGTCATGCTTAGTTTCCAAGCTTCAGCATCCAACCTTACAGGAAATCGAACTCATTACATTTTTTCGGAGTTTTTACCTTCCTTTAAATCGTTTCCTGTTATCATGGAGTTCGCATACCAAATTTGATGCAAATTGGTATATCCCATTCTTGAGCTACAAGAGAACATACACACATCCACAATTTCAGTATTTAATTTTCTGATAATTTTTAAATTGAATAAGATGAGGATTTCATGAAAGGGACAATTAGATAAGATAATGCTTTTCTAAAGCATTTTTAGATTTTTCTGTCTCAGTATGATGTTTAGTGGTAGGACAAAGAAGGAATAACAGCTTGCAGAGAACTATAAATATTTTGACAGATTCACAAAATTCAGAGGGATTTTTGTAAGCACACATACCTCTTAAAATTGATGACTGCATTACAGATGAACGTCTGACAATCTAAGAAGCCCATGAAATCTCATCAGACATAAAAATATCTTATTTTCCAGGTATATAACAATGTCTTGACAGAATGGTGGTATCCAATTTGGCCTCTCGCATTTTCATGTTTTGGGACAAATACGTTCCTTTCGGCCTCTTAGTTTTGTGGGATGGTGTTACAGGATGGGCTAGGCCGACAGCACAGTCACAGCCTGCATCACAGCTCCACGCGAGATGGGAGCTATCAGAGCACGCCAGATGAACAGTTGAGCATCAGTGTAGGTGGGCTGATGGGTGGACGGGCACCCAGTGAAAGCGACCTGAGTTCCAATATCAGCGACGATGTTCTAGTCACACCTGGCAACAAATTGAATGGCTTGCCCATTCAGACGAGCGGTTCGCTGGTTTCCACCGACAATGAGGTACTAACATGGCACACTAATGGACAATTTTTTATTGTTACTAGTGTAACAGTACTAAATAATAGAGATATTAATGATCCGTTACTTTGGTTAATTAAATAACCTTTGATTTATAAGATTTCTTGTCTTAGGTATTGAAGATTTTTTCATCATTTTACAAATTAAATTAAAGAAATATGGTGAAATTCCGATTTAATGTTTTTTGTTGTTGCAACAGTGGGTTTGAACACTGAACTGAGGAAAGAACACTAAATGAGACAAAACCATCATCATCTCCAAGGATTGGGCCCTTCCCCTCCAAAGGAAGTCGTCCTAAGAATTTTTATCACCCTTAAAAACCCGTCGACCTTGGCCGGGTTTGAACCAGTGGCAAGCACGCTACCTCCAGATCGCCAAGGGTGACTACGAGACAGAACCTTAAATCAGATATTGGACACCCTTGAGTCACTGTTAGCTCAGGTTAGATTGTCCACGTCTCAGGAGGATCTGGACTTTTGACTGACAGGTTTTGCTACACACATAGTTTGGCTACTTTCAGGGACTAAGCCCCACAGTAATGCCCCCAACGCCTACTCCAAATGAACATTACTTATGCCCTGGGGCTTTACCACCCAGTCCGCTCCCCTCAGGATGATTCCCTTGTTTCGGCCTGTCCCGCAATGTTCGATACTTCAGGGCCTCTCCCCTGCCTTGGCCATCAGACCCAGACTCCCCTGTACTTCAGCCATCATTGATGCAGTAATGACCTAAGGTCACTGGTGGAATACAGTGTCGTGCGACAGTGACCTTGGATCACATTAGTGCAGCGATGACTTGTATGTTGCGTGAAGCTCACCTTGTGAATGCCAGTGTAATCCAAAGATTACACCTTTCTTCTCTTGATTTTCATACCTGGCAGGTCTGTTACTGAAATTTGTATTGTGATGCTCGTCACTCCTGCTGACGTCCTTACATTCAGAATCTTGCCCACGAACTATCTCTTCAAACTGATAATTTCTTCTATATCTTTTACACCATCCCAAATTCAGTATTAAAGATTACACAGCAATTTGATATTATTATAACCTCTGCAGTAGAGAAAAAATTGTTAAATTAACCAAGGAACAATCCGGAACTGTCTTTATTTGCAGGTGAGTTTTGTGAATGTTCTGGAGGAGGAAAAGTCGAGTCTGGTCCGCGAGGAACTGCTAGCTGACTTCAGTGATGAGGAGCGCACTGCTATACTCAAGATACCTGCTGCGGCTAATCCAGAAGACCTGCTTCTCTTGGCACAGCTCTGTCGCATGGGGTATCTGAGGGGTTGCCATCATTTGGAGGAGATAATGTACTTGGAAAATATCAGACGTTCCCAGCTTCTTCAGTTGTTGGACAAGTTCCGTGATGTTCTGGTCACTTGTGAGACTGAGGATCCTGCTATTGCACTGTTCTACTCTCATTCCTACACCTGAGGGAGCGTACAAGCACCAAGGACATTCACCCATTCCATAGGTTGATAACGAGAACTTTTAGGTATAAATATGGTTGTCCTGGAATGTTGGATTAATATGTATTGAAATGGTACAGATGCATTTATCAAGTTATTTGTTACAGATACAAAGTTGATTAGAGTTGTTTTACAAAATGCAAATAATTTCAGTGAGTCAATTTAACTGTATAAAAATAAAAGTAAAAGTAAAACTGTCCCACTATACGCCATGTAGGCGCTTGGGGGGAGTGGAGGTATAGCTCCTCTCTTCCTTGACCTCGGCACTAGATGGGGGTGAGTGGTCAGCATCACGCCCAGGCCGGCTTTACCCCCGGAAAAGGAGCCCGGTACCCATTGGATAGGAGGCTGGGTGGGCCCCAGAGCCGGTCTGGACGCAGAGGCTAGAGGAAATATCCTCTGCCCCCGTCGGGGATCAAACCCCGGTCGCCAAGTCCGTAGCCAGTTGCTATACTGACTGAGCTACGCCGGCTCCTCAATTTAACTGTGTGGATGATGTACATAGAACAGATAGCCTGGTACCGTGTCTCAAACCTCGCAATCCGACAACCACATGTTATAAAACTTATATTTTCTTGAAAATGAAATGTAATCATAAAGATGGCTGTTTTCTGGGTTATAGCGCCATGCAGTCTGGTAGAAGTTTACCGACATTTCAGTGTTCCTTGCTGCCTCCATCATTATCTCTCATCAACCTGTTGATAGAGGCAGCAAGGACCTCTGAAATATTTTTACAACTTGGAAATAAATGGTTCCAGGTAAGTCATGTTAAAACAAGTAATGTAAAGATTACCATAAAGGAAAATTAACAACAAAACTTTTGGTGTTACGTAACTGATTGTTGATCTTTTAGACTTGTAGTTACAGACAGAATTCTGACACGTATTAGATTGCGGATGTAGACCAGATTTTACAGTCACACTTTTGGTATATATAGTCTTAATTTTTACATGCCTTTTCTGACGAGATGTCTGGCTTATCATTTGTCAGAAGCTTTGGTCTTTCTTATATGTTCATAGTTTTTACAATTTTTCATGTATGTAAAATGCACATAGAAAAATATTTTTTTTTTTTTGCATATATGTAATATGTACAATATATACAAGGCCTCTGTAATTCCAAGCATTGTACAGATCAAGCTGTATCTAGCTTAGTCTAATGCTGTAATGGCGAGTTAGTCACTTGATCAATTATAAATTTTGCAATGAAACTTCTAATATTTTCCACGTCAGTTTTTCCCTTGTCCTGTGTTGTGTCCATTTACATTTTCAGTTTCATGATTTTATATCACTTCTGCTTCCTGCCTGCATTATTTTGTGTTAAAATCATACACGTATAACATACAGACTTTTGAAAGCCACTTGCGTATTATGGACTGGTATGTGCTTGCCATTGGCCAGGAGAATGTTTTACTTATGAAAGACTCCCGGGTTACAAGCCGCGTCAGGTGGCTGAACAGTGAATAGACCATATCAAGAACAATCTCTGCTCTCATGTTTGGGGCTACTTGATAACCAGTCCGATGCTTTGTTACGCGCTCGCTGCTTTCATAAACTTCAGTCGCCGCGCAAACTTCACTTTATACATTGGAATATTTTATTACGTGAGTTGCTATCTGCCACAAATTTCCAAGTGGTGCAGGCATGAGTCATTATTGACGTGGCAGGGACTTTGTGGGTGTTAATTTAAGGTTAGCACTTAGGGATTCACTTTTGAATACAGAGTAGAATATTAGATGTTGTCAAAGCCTGGCTTGTAGATTTTCCCTGAATGATAACACTGAGATATACGTACGATTTACAGATGTAATATCAAATCTAAAACTTCTTGACGATGGTGAAGAGTCAATTGAATAAAAATTTACTTGGATATTATCCATCGTCTAGTAATAAAACATAAAAAACGTAAAACGACGTTTCGGAGATGGGGCTCTATCTCCATCTTCAGGTTCCTACTCAGTTGGGCCCACTAGATAGAGCTAATCCCTATCTCCGGACAAATTAAAAAGTGAAAGTCCCAGAAGAAAAACGCATAACCACACCATCCATCCGTGGGACGTAAAAGAATAAAATAGTAGAAACAAAATTCATTAAACACGAAAAAGCCAAATAAAACAAAGACTCACAAAATGTGGGAATAAATACATATCAACATTACAGATGTAATGTTCCTTCCGTTCAGTGCAAGATGCATATCAGATCAGAGACATAGATGGCTTGAGTCTCATCTGCATTGATTTTTATATTCTAGTGATCACACCACAACTCCATTGAAGTAAGGCCTCACTGCAGCTCTCTGAGAACATAACCCTCTTTGTGGCGTGTGCCATGTATGCACGTCATCAGCGAAGGGGCTAGAGGATCACCTGGTGACGGGCGTCATTTATGTGCAAGCAGTACAAGGTAGGGGACAGGATGAAACCGTGTGGCACCCCTGCTTGCATCTGCCTTGGTGTAGACATTTTGCCTTAAACCAAAACTTTGAATTTTATATTTATTTGGGTTAATTAGTTTCACTAAACTGATTGAAAAGTGCAATTTTGTTAACTGATACTGCAAGCCAGTGCGCCATACAGTACCAATGGTTTTCTCCATATTCAAGAGTACTGTAGTCTTAGACGTGTTTCAATTTAAGTTGACGTGGTCCACAAGCCTCATACATTGAAGATTGAAGTTTATAGCTGTTATGTGCATGAGGACTGAACTGGCTTACATTAAGCAGAGCCCATGTTTGACAAGATAATTGGAGACAAACTTTGTGGATTAGTGACAGCTGGTTAAATAAATGAGTTACATGTACCAGTGGTCTCCATGGAAGGTGTGCGAGTCATTCATTTGCGCTGCCATCAATTCCGCTGGTCTTTGTCGGTTTTAAAATCTGCAAGTGTCGTAATCCAAGTATGTTTGTGTTGCAACTAACGCACTTTGGTGCATTGCTAACAGACGAATTCATGAGCATCCATTCTTCACTGAATGTGCCAAAGCTTTAACTGGGGGCTTTAACTCAAAGTTAACTGACGCAAGGAACCCCTTATTTCTGCCTATTTGAAGGCAAAAAGCTGTCTGAAGTCATGACTGATGCTCAGCATGGCAATTGAGGCTGCCCATATAAAAGTGGGCAAGGAGATGCAATGATTGGTGCCTTAATACTATTTGGCAACCGTGTCTGAATTTTCCATGCTTTTCCCCAGTTGTATAACTGAAGGAGCATGGCCTGCCTACCCCAGTCATGGAGGCCTTCATCCAAACTATTCCCCACCACTTCTGGGTTCAAATCCCAGAGAGCCATCCAACAAAAGTTCCTTTTAAAAAGGACAGATTGCCTGATCGGAGCTCATGCTACCAGTAGCAGCAGCCGTTGGTCTGATTGTGTCAGTGCCTTCAGCCAAGACGACAAACTCGTTAGCAAAAGCACATCCCCAGTTATAATTTATAAGGCACTGTTCTCACGTTCCAGTTGAGCATTTCATACATAGCAATGGTTTCACAGAGGAAGGAACTTTAACTGCAGTGTTTGCCAACATAGAAAACTTCTCAGAATTTGACACGGCTCGTCTGGGAAGGCAGAAGTTGTACGTTGATGTCCAACCATGAAAAACTTTAGACAAGGATTATACTTGGTTACTTTCTCAGTTGAGCCCGAAACATGCTTTCTTTTCTTAAGGCAATTGGGCCTCCAAGAAACTGTTTCCCGATACCTTAACAAGAAACAAAATTTTTTCACAACATGTGACCTTGTTGGTATTCAAACTTCATGTGCACTAGTAGGAAGTGATGGTTCTTTAAATTAAGTGATAAAGTTAAAGATAAACATTATAAAAGGAGAAAATATTAAAGGGAAATATTAACTAAAGTAGAAGTAGAGTAAATTAAAGTAAAGCTGTCCCACTATACGCCATGTAGGCGCTTGGGGGGAGAGGTGGTATAGCTCCTACTCGTTCTTGACCTCGGCACTAGATGGGGGTGAGTGGTCAGCATCACACCCCAGCCACATACCCCTGGGAAATGACTCCGTTACCCATTGGATGGGTGGGCCCCAAAACTGGTCTGGACACAGAGGCTAGAGGAAAAATCCTCTGCCCCCGTCGGGGATCAAACCCCAGTCGTCCAGCCCGTAGCTAGTCACTATACTGACTGAGCAACTCTGGCTCTCACAAAATAAATGATAATTAAAATTAAAAGCACGGGGAGGAGTAGAAAGGAATAGAGAAAGAAGGATGTGGCTTCAGCTGCTGATCAACAGGTCAAGCCAAGAATAGGCGCTTTATGATCGAGGATTCCGGTGTTCTGTCGGGCTGAAGTCCTTTTGCCATCACATTCCTGATTACCGTGGTCATCACCTCTTCTTCTTAACCATGTGTTTATCAGATCTTTCATATCCCATTTGCTGTCTACTGGATGGCTTGCAAAAAAATACCCAACCAACATATTCACCCTGAGCATGGTAATTGCAATGTTTGCTGAAACAAATAACTTTCAACATCCAGTGTGGCTTATCATGAAGACTCTAGAGTTTTACATTTAGCTCCAGTCGTAAAAAGCTAACGACAAAGAGTTCGTGTAATTTATGTCTTATGTCATTGACACCATAAAAGTGGCTTTGGAAATGGCTTCATAATGTGTTTTTTTATATATTTATTGTAGCTGTAACATTCCCAGAGGAAAATGTGTGAATTTAAGAGAGTAGCAGGGGGGATGAATAATGTTGCACTTTTTGTCAGAAAATCTGAAGTTCCAACGTGAGAGGCTCAGGCATGTATGTATATATATATATATTAAACTGGATGCAGAGCACGAGAATTTGGACTGGACTGATTTGGTTCAGGCTAAGATGGATTGGCAGACTCTTGTGAACACAAAATGAATATTTGGGATCCATAAAACCAGGGAATATCTTGACCACATGAGCAAATACTACTTCTTAATGCTTCTGTTTCATGGACATTTAATATTCCCATTGTTTCATATACAGTTTATAGATTTGTTGTCAGTGTTGCATTAACGGTGAAGCAAATGTGGATTAAGTCACATAGAAAAATATTCTTCAAATGTGTTAAGGCACTTAGTGTATTGTAAGCCTGTTAATGTACACATTTTGGCTGTAGTATTTGTCTTTAACATCTGCTGACAAAAGTTTCGAAGTATCCACAATCTTTGCGAAAACAAGTGTATCAAAAACATGACATATGTCGGCCACGGAAAATTCTGTATTGCATCACATACTTTCTTAAGAAGCAAATTGATTCTCTGAAGCTTTATAAAAATTGTTACTTCATTACATCTCAGATATGTTGGACATTGAACATTTTGTGAACTGTATTAAATATACACCAGCATAATTTCCATATAAAACTCGGGTCAGTCACGGTAAATAATTACATTCATGAACTCACAAACCCTGAGGTAACAGAGCCGAAATATTCAACAGTGCCAGTACCAAAACCTGCCATTGGCTGTGACCCTGAGCCAGTTTCATCCATCACCCATCCTGTCAACCAGTTTCCATCATAATCATGGTCATGTCATTGTCCCATCTTCATTTTAGACTTTGAAGTAAATATTTTTGAACAGGTTTCTCTGTCAAAATTTTTTGTGCATTCTTTGTCTTGCTCATCGCAGCCTTGTGCCCAGCACTTCGTAATCTACATATCACTTTCCTCCCAGGACTAGTTACCTGTATAAACCTTTTAAGTTCCTTATGTAATATCGTAAACTCCTCATTGGTTCGTACTTGGTACATCCAGATAATTTCCTGAGGGCGTCGTTTTCAGGCACCTGTCCATTGATTGAGATTAGTTCGGTGGATCCCACGGAATAGGTGCCCTTCCCCTTCGCCACACCTGAAGACAAGGACAGATCCGATCCTCGATACGTGTAATTTCGTAACATCAGACGATGGACAAGGTCCAAAAAACCCAACGATGCAGATTGTATTACACTTTCATCAGAACCTTCAGAGTAGATATTTTCCGATGTTTACTACAATCTGCGCGTACATATAAATAGAAAATTAGCTGTGTCGCATTGTCAGGTTGCGGATATCGTCAGTAGCTGCGCAGTCATAGTCAGGTCACAGAGGACAATTTGTACTGCACGACGATTAGTTGCAGAGCTGTTACCACCCTAAATGACTGTTTTATTATGAACTATGAAAGAAATTCTGAGGACATTAAACTCGGATATCCGAGAAACATGTCAGGAATATGAGAATAATGCCTGGAATGAAGGTTAATTCTATTATGTACCTAGATAACAGAGTGTGACAAAACTATGAAAAGTTGTAGGATTTGAGGTTTTCATGGCAATGAATACAAATATGGCTGTCTTCTGGGTTGTAGCACTGACTTGTCTGCTTCCATCAGGTGGAGCTAGTGAGAATAGTGGTGAAATGTAAATTTTTCTATATACATACTGAAGTTAGTAATTTTAGAGACCAAATTTATGATAAACTGTAGATGTTTGTTGTGTGTGTTTGCATGTGTTGTCCGCTTGCTGTGCCAGAAGATTAAGTACTGAAAATATCTGAAAACAAAGTATTTGGATGCAACAGAATAAAATAAATACGGAATTGTGAATGTTACTTTAAAAGGAACATGTGCTGTTAATGCTCAAACTCAGATTGAAGACTGAGACATCGTAGGATGAATATTTGGAAACTAGGTTGTGAATTTAAATAAGTGAGGTTGTTGTTTTTTTATCTGCATTTGTTTAATTAATTCTTCCATTGCAAAAATATATAATGTAGTTGTGTATTTGTTAAGTAGAGAAGATTGTGTTAGGATCGTCCTATTTTGGGCTATCCCGTTGCTATGTATCGTAGTGCCGTACATACGACGAGCAGTAGCATCGCCTTCTCGACTGATGGTGCCGCATTGCAGAGGTCCCCCTGACAGAAACACATGTACACCTTCTTGTGGTTCCACGTGATGTAGTCGCACCTTTCCTCATTGTCTGATGGACCACGCTGTAGGCACATGCGTTGAGTTGCTACCCCGTACTCTGTAACATGCCGAGCATTCGCGTCTATATTACATTGTTCCCTGGAACTATCCCTGTATGTAATATACACAGGAGATGTACACAATTTTACTGAAACACTGTTCATAAACTGAAAGGCAGAGGAATGGAAGCTAAATACATTTTGAGCAGGTTGTATGATGAAGTTTATAATTCATGCCACTCACAGATGTTAAAATGGCATCCCGAGTAGGTGAATTCCTCACGCCTCAATGACGTGCTGGTCCAGCAAGATGGAGCACCTTCACATTTCCACAAAGAACTGACAGACTTCTTAATTTGTAAGTTTCCAAAGAAATGGATCAACAGAGGAGGGGTCTATCACGTGACCACCCTGTTCACCTGACCTTAATCCCAATATTTTTTTCTCTTTTGGGGGTGTATCAAGGATGCTGTGTACGTGGCACCATCGGCTACCACTCTGCGAGGACTCGCCAAGAGGATAAGAAATGCAGTGGCTACAGTAACCCTTGACCTTAACAGTGTGTGGACTCAAAGTGATTCAGGGTAACCCCCACTGAATATCTGTTCAATGGGGGTCACAGCAACTTGATCATATAAGCGAGTCAAATGTGTTTTGTCTTCATGTGCAATGTTACATTAAAATGGTATACATTTCATATGTACATCCTATATTTTAGAATGTCCATTCCAACGTAACATCTGTCTCTCTCTGTATATCTGCTGCTTCCATGCATTGAAGGAGAGTGTTTTAGTAATTATAATAAAATATTAGAAACTCTTCGAACATCTGGCTGCTTGGGTCCATGTCGAACATTGTCACTGACATTTTCTTTTCAACAGTGTTCTTCTATCCCCCTCAGTATTTTGAATTTGCTCTTTCCTCGGAATCTTTTACGACGATGCAAAGTTAAAATGTTTTTTCTATCACATTTGTAACTAAGAAGTTAACAGTGCTGTGGTAACAGAACGTAAAGGTTAAACAGAAGCAAAATACTGTGTTGGCGTCTATATTTAAGCCCACTCCATGTCATCGTAGGCTTTTTTCCTTGAGTCTATTACCCCCCATTTCCATCAGAGTGCAGGCTGTAATTCATAATTTATATTATGACCATCTTTTGGGTTTAAATATTGTTATTATCAATTCATTCCCAAACATTTTGTACATATTTGTACTGGTATTTCTGGAAATGCAAATGCAACGAGAGTTCTTAATGCTGTCTGTGCTTAATTCTGACTTTGACCTCATGATGGTCTCACCGTCATCCTTGAAGGAATTGCCCCCTTCTAGAAATTTGCCACACCATCCTGAGGCACAAGGCATTGCCTCGACTCCCCTCTCTTGCTCCGCCAGAGTGAGGTTCAGTGCGAACGGATCCTTACAAGTGCCCAGGTCACCACGTGAACGGCAGGAATAGCAGCGGCGTAGCAGTGCTGAAACATGTCGTGCAGTCAAGAGTTAATACTGTTGGACTCTGTATATTTGAAGTACTTATATAGAATTGATTCGGATTTTTCGAAATAAATACCAGAAATTGCCAGCAAATTTTCATGGATTATCAAGTAAGATATTTAAATAATCATACAAATATTTCTGTTCAGCATCTAGTACGAATTTCTGCTATCTTTGATGTTAGAATTCCAGCTTCGTATTCAGAGGGTTCTAGGTTAAAATCTTGGTCCAGTTTTAGTGAGTTTCTATGTTTATCTTTCGTTATTCTATTCATTAAATACCAGGATAGTACAATAAATTCCTTATTGATCATTCATGAACAAGTTATTTATTTATTTTTTTACGTAAGTGCAGACACGTGTGTACGAGGCTTGCGTCGTCTTTCTGCGCAGGCTCGAGGGGTGGTGGTGGTCTGCAGACGATATTGCAGATCACTACTTTTTATTCTTATTTGCTACAGCGCCCATGGCGGAGAAGCGAGGAGATACTACAGACAGCTGTTTGATCGTTCGCACAGTCAATTGTTAACGTTTTACTGGGCGTCAGGTAAAAATTACAGGAAACTTTTTGATCCGAAGTAAAACAGCTGAAAATCGAAATAACAGCTTCCGGTCAAATTAATAATTTGTGAACGAAGAATTGCCGACAGAATTAGCCAAAGATAATGGGGCAGGGATTGTGTGAGTGCGTCCGATAACCGACGCTACCGGTCTCGCCTCAAGATTCTTGCCGATGCAGATGGCAACGTAAGATAAAGAAAATGAGACTCTTCCCTGCTATGTACGGCGTATCTCGGGCATGGTCAATTTATCGTGCGTCTTTAGGAGCTGGACGACCGGGGTTCAATCCCCGACGGGGGCAGATAATTTTTTTTCCCCCTCTAGCTTGTGCGTCCAGACCAGTTCTAGGGTCCACCCACTGATAACTGATAGTTCACTTTTGTCAGTAAATTCTATATTTTATAAATCGTGAACGTCGCCTTGAGGTTTCCTGACCGAGCACGTGGAATTTGGGGTTGAATCCCAACTGGGGCAGAGACTTTTCTTGTTACCACTGCATCCGAATTGGCTATGGGACCCACCCAGACCCATATCCAATCAGTACTAGGGGATATTTCTCCAGAGATAAAGGAGCCAAGTTATGAACTTGATCCTGAAGGAAATACACCACTTGAAAAATCTAGTTGTAGATGGGACGATATTATTATAATGGATTTTAGGCAGCAAGGATGTAGATTGGATTTATATGGCTCAAGCTAGGAAGCAGTTTAGGATTCTTGAGAACACAGTAAAGAACTTCGGCGATCAGTTTATTGGAATTTTTAGGTTAGGTTAGGATACGGTTTCCTTCTCACGAGGGAGTCTGCCCGACGGGGTTAATTATCCATATAAAGTGTCTTCAAAGTGGGCCTGAAGGAAACAGTTTACTGAAGACAAGTTCAAAACGAGCATCGGTATTGTACGTCTAAATATCATCTGTTATATCGACATAGTGTTTGTAAAGTGACGTCATCGTTTTGAATTTAATCTGAATATTTGTTTACCAAACTAGGGAATTGCGTACTAGAAACTACAAATGGACGTCGTTCTATATTTAAATGTTATATCTGCAGTTCTTCAGATAACCTCTGACCCTACATTGGACCTTGAGTTTGCTGTTGGAATTGTTTACTTTCAATTTCTGAAACACGCGTAGTTGGTAAAATATTATTCTGTTAGCAACAGAATTTCTAAGAGCAGAAAAGGAACCACTGCTTATGTTCCATAAGGCCACAAGCCGAATGATGAAAAACGTAATGTTATTTTTAAAAAAAACATTTACCTGTACATATTTCTATTTTCTGTTGACAAACATTATTAATATTAGCACAAAATTAAAATTGGTATGTTTAATTCTGTGGATGGAAACATGTCAGCGACTTCCTTGGCACGACTACAGGATGATTCAAAAGTTTTTGCACAAGCGTTGAAAGTACGCCCTGTGTATATTACTAGCACATATGCATTTTATCTTTTTGCTGAAGACGAGTAAAATCAGTGATGGCTTCCTTCAAATGTCGTAGACTACATGGATTTTCTATGCACACTGAAGCTTCCGCTAGTACTCACAATTAAAAATAAGAGAAGTGAGATCGGGAGACCTCGGCGGCCAAACGTCCTTTCAAATTGATCGTTCACCGAACACACTGCATAAAACACGAGCGGCTGTTTTGGGAGTCGAAGTCCTTTACATAAATCGAATCACGCCTCATCTAAATAAGCGACGTCCAGAATATATTCTCCATTATTATTATTATTTAGTGTTCTGTCTGACGACAGGTCCATATGAACAGGATCCTTCCATCCTTTTCTCGGACTGGGACCTGTTCATATACGTTCTTGGCAGATGATCCAGAAGTGGTTTGCCATTGCCTTCTTCTGTGTGTGAATGGAGTAATTGTTGGGATGCCACGGAGAAAAACTCCGTGTTGCCTAGACCACGGCCTTGCCCAACACAAGTTATAAATTCGGGCACCGCCGGGAATCGAACCCGAGACCCCAGGATTACAAGGCCAGCGTTCTAACCGCTAGACCACCGTGGCTATCGTCAATAATGCACACGCTTGCAGTTGAGGATGGGAAAAGAGATGGTTCTCGAAAAGGCAGAAGATTTTGTTTGTTCGCCGTTCAGCCACCTGACGCGGCTTGTAGCCCGAGAATCCTTTATCAACTTCTGTCGTCGCTAAAGCTTCACTTCATACATTGAAGAACTGGATTTTTCCTGCCAGAACAAATGTTACATTTAAAGAATAAACACGTAGGAAGGAAGATGGCTCATCGCCCAGATTATGGAGGCAACAAGGATCTATGGAACTACGACCAGACTACACGGCGCTACAATCCAGAGGACAGCCATCTTCGTACCCACCACCATGAGAACCTCAAGTCCTACGTCCGAAGAAAGTTTACCCTACGCTTCGTGTTCTTAACATTTCCTTTCCAAGGTCATAAAACACTTACAGCCACTGGCTGTGTAGAATCATAGCTAGGCATGATGTCACTTCGTTTAACAAAGGTTCCACACATTAATTGTAAAACGATTCTAAACACTGAACTTCCAGCCTTCTGTAGCCGTGACCTACTTACCTCAGCGAAGAACTTTGGGGACTGTTAAAAACCCATTTCACAGAGACGACTATTTTTACAGTTGCAATTTCATTTAAAATCCAGAAATAATGTCAGCGACACACCCAGCTTCTACATATGTCATTGTTTAGTTGAAAACCAGAATAATGTCGGTGAACAGTGTTGTGAGTTACCTTCTGATAAGTCTGGAACCGAAACACACAAAAACAGAAGAAACGCGCATCCCGACGCTACGACGTGCCTCATTGTTGATACATCCGGGATATAAGTTCACGTTCCAGAACTACAGCTGTTCTCCAGCATCGTACCTGAACTGACTACCAGTTACCGTTAGGTTGCACACAGCGATATCTAGCGGCATCCTTGTGAGTTGAGTCGCCGATGCGACACAGAAGAGAAAGCGAGGCGGTAGGCAAGTCGACAGAAAATATGTCCGAAATTACATAATGTGAATTAAATTGCATAACATCGCTTAAAAAAGGAAAGGCTAATCGTCAGGACAGCCTAAAATAAGGCATCCTTCAGCCTTGCTGGTAGCTTCTGTGTCTTTCTCAGTTTTTACTTTCCCCATAACTTCACACAAATCGTGTGGTTGGCCGCCCTGTAAATCTGCATAACTCTCCACATGAATAACATTTCTGCTCCTTAATCTTTACATCCTGCACGATTTCGTAGCCCTATATTTTGTACATCAACTTCCCAGCTGGGTTTTTGTTGATACATTTTGATATCACGGGATGGGTGTTAAAGTAATGGTAATGATGACTTTAGGATAAGCTGGATCGGTTTGGTTGAATGTTCAAGAAAGTGTTTAACATTATTTTGCTACTCTGTGTTGTGCTGGCACCCCTTCTCACCCTTATTCGGACCCCATGTTATTAACATTGTCAATACTAATTGTAGTCGTCCCACATTGTTCTGCATTCTTTCTTCATGTATAGAAGACACGTGTATGCTTTGTTCAACCTGGCACTAAGACCCTTAAACGCAGAATAGTGTGGACCAATAGGAAGCGCCTTGCGCGTCCTTAGAAACTCTATAAAAGGTGCGAGATTATTGCCTTGCGTCGATTTTTAGGGCAGTAGTTATAGGAGGAACCTGTGTCGCTTGTGGCCATAATGTGGATATTGTTCATGTTAATTTGCAGCTGCGGTGTATAAAGCCTTGTATCGACTGCGCGCGGCTGCCTCGCGCACCTGTTCGTGCGCGGCAAACTCGTTCGTTCGCTCATTGTGCTCGTGGTTACCAGCATCGAGCGCGGCAGCCGGGTTCAGGCAAAGCAACGAACATTGCCTCGCGAGGCAGCCGCGCGCAGTCGATACAAGGCTTAAGGCATGTTTGTTCTGTGGTGACAAGAAGGAGTTGGTTCTGGTTCGGACATTATAACTCTAAATTTGTGTAATTATACTAGTAGGATAGCAAATGGTGTTTGAACGATAAAAAGTGCGACTCCCCCACCAAATGTCGCCCGTCCTATGTTCTGCCAGGAGGGTTAAATAGCCATACTCTTCACATTAAGTGGTGGGCCACAAGAAAGACGATGATGGAGGCAGCATGGACCTCTGAAACGTCGATAAACTTCTACAAGACTACACGGCGCAATAACCCAGAGGACATCTTCAGACTCAACGCCGTGAGAACCTCAAATCCTACAACTGCACTGCCCTGAATCGTCCAGCCTCGACCGCGGCCCTGTTTATTCGACAAACATCCATTGGTATTATCGATTATTGCCATGGTGCAGTATGTACGTGGCAATACGTTACTGCTGCCATCTGTGCGGGCACAGACAGAGGTATTATTCATGTTGGTAACAAGATTGTGTGTTTTTTAATCTTTGGTAGTAGTTGGGCGATGGTTTCTTTGTCACGCGTAGAAAGTCGTTGGTAGTGGACGCACGAACTAGGTCGGTAGCTTATTGAGAAAGATTCTTCATGGAATGCAGTATATCAGGTAATTGCGTGGAATTGAAATTCAGCAGATCATACAGTGTTATAGCATGCATGTTAATGGCATTTTTGATACCATATTACAAATTTCTGTGCTACACAAAGCGCCATTGCGATGGCCGTTTTGTGGGTTGTAGCGCCATGTTTGGTGACGTAGAAGTTTTTGTTGCTACCACAAGCCAAAGACGGCCATCTTATTCGCCGCCATTAGAAAGCGTCGGTTAACCGTGAAGCTAGCTGTGTGTGTTTGCTGTATATAATCTCTTTCTGGTAGGTAAGCTGCATAAGAAACGTTATAAAACCTAAATTGTCGAAATCATTGACGTTTAATATATTCATTAAATAATGTTATACATAAATTCCACATATTTAGTTTATTATCGATTCACGTGAATATACATGTACATGTACATGGGTTACTTTTGATACACAGTCAAACTTCCATTATTAGTTCCACTTTTTGTTCGCCAGTTTTTGCGTTGCAGTAAATTCAAATTATTTATTCACTCAATGTTTTGAACATTGTTCCATTTTCTGGATTTGCCTCATAAAATGGAGATATACTGGCTTGTGGGCACTGTGAGTTTAACTGCATATAAAAATAGCTGCAAATAAATTTTCTGAAAATAAGTGGTATTAACCGGTAACTCAAAGTAATATCTGTAATAAGCATGTCATAATGCACAAGAGTAATTCTTAGATATCTGGTATTGTTACATAATCCTGTATGGTTTTCTAGTGTGTTTCTTGCATTGTGTGTATAACCACGCCATTGTGATTCTGTAATCCTTCAGTTGTACCTGTCCAGTGGTTATGCCAGATACAAATTTAAAATCTTCACTCCTTGTATTTATTTAATCTTTTCTTTTATCCGTGCAGTACTTCTGCATCCTGTCAACTGCATTCGTTGCGGCTCGATAAGCCTCAAACTCTCCAGGGAAAATCTGGAAATGTGAGGTAAGCTTGACCAATGGTAATCAATTGTGCCATACGCCCATAATCAGCCCACTGTGTAATGATCCTCATTGACAAGGCTACATGAGGAAAATCACGCCAGGTTTCTGATATTGGACGGGTATTATTTTGATTGATCCGTACTCTTTCTGGAGAGAGATGTACCAGATATCCTACTTTGTCGTGGTGGTTGTATTGAACTTGGTGAAGTTTTGCATCACCGCCTGACCTCTAGTTGCCACACTATAGTAGAATTCTACCTTGCTATCATGGAGGAATGTGACATGAACAGGTCTCATACTATCCCTCATATGGTACGAGAATGCCACTGCTCTCCGAAGATCTGCAATTGGAATATCAGGATTAGGAACTGGAATGACTTGACCTGGAATCAATCCAACATCATCTGTGGCCAAAGCATGGGCACACACTGTTAACTCTCACGTGAGGTTGATTTGAGGCGATTTGTTCTGGAACGTGGAGCCATTAAGTTTCCTATAAGACATAACTTAATGTTGTCATCCGAACCTTCGACACTTACCATAAGCTAACATGAAGGCCATTGTACATAGGATGGGATGACTAATTTGGGTTCCTCCAACCATGATGGGTCAGCAGAATGGAGCCCGAGAGGTGGCGGAAACCCACAACCGGGTTGTAGGGCCAAGAAATAACAACACTTGGTGTAGTTAGGAAATTATAACAATTATTTCTGATACCGTATCCTAACAAAGCCTACAGCAGTGATTCCACATAAAATCAGCATAGAAAGATACATTTTCAACAAGACCTCAGTTTTTTTGTTTTGAGACTGTAGTCTGAATGGAGATAAGTATTTGTACCAATTTTTATTGCATTTTGGCCACTAGATTTTTTGGGAGCAGACATCCAACGTAAAAAAAACTTTCTTGGCACAAGTAGTCTTAGAGAAAGTGTCTTAAGTTCTGCCCTGATTTGAGGTACATAGCTCATTTTAAACCTTAATAAAACCCCTTTCAGTGATCTATTCTACCAGTATATTCAGTAAAGTTGTCTCCAATGTATTTAAATTTGACCTTTGACCTTGTATTCTCAACTTTTTAATTTTTAAGAAAAAAATGTTGTTTATAAGTAATTTGTTTAAAACATCTGAAAATACCAAATTTGGAACTGCAGTGGTATTGGGTTTTGTGAAGCAGATTGCTGTGAAGTTGCGTTGCTTTTATTGAAGAGAACTTGAAAAAAACATTTTTCTCTTTACTTTTTTACATTTATTAATTTTCGTTAATATAAATGGCTATGCTTTTGTTAAAGCAATTTTTTTAGAATTGTGTGCCATTAAACTTGTATAAAATTTGGCAAAAAATGAGGGAAATATTTTAAAAAAGCTGCAACAAACAGTACTTTTGCTTAACAGAATTCAATAAGCTGTACGTGTTGGCCAAGTTCAGACATGCTTGGCTTGCATCATTGCCAATGAGTATGAGTTGTGCAGTGTCTGCAGTATTGGCGGGCTTCCTGTGTGGCGTCGATTTGACATGGAATGACCCAACAGCACTTTGGCTTTTCAGGTTTTAGGATTTTCAGGATTTTGTAATTTTGCTTTTTTCCATGTCAGTTCTTGAGCATATTCTACAATTTATTAACATTTTGATTTTTGTGAAAAATATCAAAAGCCATCACATTTTGGGTGGTATATTCGTCTGAACAACACCTAAAAGGCCACATGCCATTCACTGGCTAAACAAGTGTAAGTAAATAGGATTTGAGGTTATCACAGCGGTGAGTAGGAAGATTTCTGTCTTCTGGGTTGTTTCTCTGTTTAGCGTGGTAGATGTCCACCAGTGTTTCAGAGATCATACTGCCTCCTTCATCAGGGCGATGAATGAGCCAGTCTAGTGGGAAATTCTAGGTTTATGGGGACCTGCTCCCATTGGCTAGGATTCGGCTACTCCATTCACTGTCTGGTCATTATAAACCTAGCGTTTTCCAATCGATTGGCTCATTCATCGCCCCGATGACGAAGGCAGTATGACCTCTGAAACGTTGGTGGACTTCTACCATAGTACACGGCGTAACAACCCAGAAGACTGCAATCTTCAAGTGTAAATAAGCAGGCTACATTCTACTGCCTGTAAGAAGACATCAAGAGTGGTGCCATTCACATTATCATTAGTCAAAGAATGGTGATGCACCAGTTTTTAAACTTGACAAGCTTATGAAAATGGCACCACAAAAAATCTCCATGAAAAAATATGCGAATTAGGTTTTTAAGGTTTTTGGAATGCCAGATATAGGTTCTGACACCATAGTTCCTTTCCAGTGCCGTAAACATGTCTAACTTCATTCCCGCTCGACAGTCCCTTCATCTTGCATATTCCCACTCCGCTGGAAATATCTGCCCAATCATTTGCAGTGTATTTTGGTACCGCTGCACATCAGGATTCGTTAGGATGTTCCAGTAGCTTCCTGTTACAAGCAGTATAAATTGGCACTCGAAGCAACTTACTTTGTGCTTTGTTTCCTTGCCTCGTTCCTAGAGGGGTTGTGGTTCGTATTGCAGTGCGATGCCATCAGGGCTGTGGAGTCGGAAGCAATTTTAGGTGGAATCGGAGTTGGTATATTTTTACCGACTCCGACCTCGATATAAAATCTTAAGAACACTTTCGCTGTCGTGTGAGCAGCCAGTGGCCTCACATTTAGGGAGATTCAATGACGTGTTGACCCACATGGTGTTTGGAATAATACATTATGACTTTGGTTCCAGTATCTTAAGAATGCAAACTGTGTATAAATCAACCGATTTCTGCAATAACCATTAGTTATATTTAAATATGGGTTGTGAGTGGGGTTTGGATGTTCGTGACCTAAAAAACTGAGAAATATGCATGCAAATATGCCCCCAAAAATAGCGAAATATGACTCAAAAAAGGCAAAATGTGACCTAATTTGTTATGAAAAAATATTCGCCAAAATTTAAAAAAAAAAATTATATTTCAATCATGTTATTTATTTACATATGCATGTACGATTACATTACTTGATTTCGTAGCAATTTTAATCAAAAATCTCAGTCGCTTTAAGTTGTAAATGCCTCGTTTCGGATCAGCATCAGATGTTGAGTATACATGATCCTGTAAAAATAAGATAAATTTTAAGAAAGCCTTTCATGCATTTCATATTCATTAATTACAAATAAATAAATGAACGGAATTCAAAATATTACATGCATTTCTTCATTCTCCTTTCTTGGCAGCATTACAATATATAACGATGTGCATTTTCAAGGTCTCGAATGAAAATCTTCTTAGATTGTCGCACAATATGGTCTTGTAACTTGAGACATCACAAATGTTTCATGGCGTTATCGAAAAGTACAGTGATAGGGGAGTGGTTTATTGTTTCAAGAAGGAATAAGTCACCAGGGCGGTCAGCAAGGAGCGTGCGAATAATGACATTCCCTACATATCTGCCGCAGACATCCGTTGTTTCAGCAACCGAAACCCAGATCTTATTGTCACCCACAGTACATGTAATTCTTTTTAGAACATCTCCATAACAGGCAGGTACAGTTCATTGTTCACTTTGTTAAGTTGGCAGATGCCATCATTTCACATAGGGATTCACTGTAAGTGTCTGAGAATTGTAGTTACAAGTAAAAGTTTATACACAAAATATAACCAGAATATGCGTTTAAGTACAAATATGACCAAACACAAAAATGAAAAATATGCATTTATATGCAAAATAAAAACGGTATAATTGTGATTAGGACAACCCAGTTAGTGTTTAATTTCAGTTTAGACTGAAAATAGAAGCCCCAATAAAAATATGACATCGTGGACATCCGAACCCTAGTTACAAGTCTAAAAAGTAGCCTGATGATTCACGTGGTGGTACCATTTACCATTTTATTAATGCATATTGAGCTTTTATGAAGGAGTCAGAGGTTTTAGTACCAACACCACAGCCCTGGTTGCCATGCCCTTCATCTCGACTGCCAACATGATTTGTTTGTTCTTCAGAAGGTCCGGGTCTCCTTTCTCCAGTTTAACTCTTCCCTCATACAAGCTAGGCCTTGGGCGTACTAGTTCTCGGGGAATAATCTGCTCTCCCTCGGGATACCTACCTGCAGCCGTCTGTCACGTTCGCTCCTGGCCAACTACCGCAACTCATATTTCTCTTTCATTTTGCGTGCATTTGCCACAGCCACCTTATTTATCAAGGGCTTTATTCAGTAGTTGTAATCGGACAACCCTCTAATGACCTCTCATGCTATTTAATTTCTTTATGAATTTGGCTCAATCATGTTTTCCCTTTATCATCTCCAAAATCTAAATCATGTTCCCCTGTCATGATAATGCATTCTATTTCTCTTGTCCAGTCCTCTGTTCTGTGGCGTTGTATGGGTCGTGCGTCAGATTGTATTTCAGGTCATAGTTACGTGTTCTTTGCATGAAGTGCACAGTGAAAACTCATTTTGGGCTGGTCGTGTCTGCCCGTCAAAATACCCCCCCCCCCCCCCCCCATTAACCACTGGATGGATTCGGATTGAATTTGACAAGACAGTTGTGTTCTGCACAACCTCAAAATCGAATTTCCTTGTGTCCTGCAAGTGGTGATAACAAAATGATGGCTGAGTAAAATCATAAGGTAGTAATTCAGGTGGTTCAGTCCGGTGGCCAATGTGGGAACTACTGAACAATATGGATTTAATATCTCTAAATGAACGTTGCAAAGAACACATGAGGCTGTTACGTGTATTTCTGTTTGGAGTACACGTAACAAGCTTGTTCATCTTGAGGTTTCCTGTGGTCATTCCGTCTGCCATCTCTGTCCTGTGCAATGGGTAGATTGGAAGGATTTATTGCCTGCTGAGCAATCAAGGCACAATTCACAGTCCTCCCACATATTTTTGTATTTATTAACGTGGTGGCTCGTGACTCGAGCTTAAACTTTTGTCATCAGATGGATTGAGGTTGAATTAATTCTCATCATCTTCAACAGCTTGCACGTTACTGAAACACGGGCCGACAGAAGATGAGACAGAGCCTCGGCCACTTGGGAGTACCAGAGGGCGACGTGACATGAACATCTTCGTGTGCTACGGTAGGTGCATCCAGCTGTATTACAGGGATCGTCTCGATTGTGACCGAAGTGATCGACAAAGGTAAGCAGTATCTGTTCTTCATGGTTTGTGAATATGGTCCATAATCATTGATGCCGTTCGCAAGGGAATGAAGACGTTCTCACAGAGGACCTGTGAAGCCTCAGCCTTTAACCCTTCAGCGTGGAAGCATTTAAATCCCAAGTCTATACCGTGCTGTGGGAGGAGTTTCTGCATGGGGATTTAATTTTGAGCTGAAAGTGCATCATTTTACTTATATGGGCACAACTTCCCTAATAATTGATGAATTTTAGTGAAACTTTGAACAAAATGTTCACAACACACTATGCTTTATAGAAAGGTACAAAATTTACCTTAAGCAGTAGGACGTGCCACACTCGGTAAACTGCTCCCACTTTGTTCACCGTCATTGTATTCATTTTCAGATTTGTCACATGTAAGAAATTCACGAACAGGTAAATCATCGATTACACTTGATTCATCATCTGAATTGAACACGCTACTTTCGGAATCGGTGAGAGGTTCGTCTACACTTCTAGCAATGTCTTGAGGAGACAAAAAACGCCTGCTACTCGAAGCCATATTCACGGCTGACTGACGGCAGATATGTACTATAGAATTCTGTTCTTACCAAGGGGAGAACAGAGAATGCATTGACTAAGGTCGTTGACATCACATACCGTTAGAAAGGTTGGAATGTGTCCTACACAGCCTTCGAAACCTTAAATATATTACTCCATTTGTCTTCCCTAGAGAGAGCCACAAAGCAGAGGCTGAATGCAGTTGAGTTCAAAAATCGATCTATATTTCAAAGTCGAAAAACACTGGTAAAATCGATCTGTCAGAGTCATGATATATATCAATCGATAGCCAGCATTTTTCTCTACATGGCTACTGGATCCAGAATACATAAAATACAAGGTCAGTCGCTACGAAGAAGGAGAAGTCTTAGCGCGCATTATGCGAGCAGTGCTCGGCACTCCACGCCATGGGATGACTACGTCATGACGAGCGATGTTCGGCACTCCACGCTGAAGGGTTAAATGGCTTGCAGATTAAACCACAGGTGATGTTAATTGTCTCTCTGGAGTTTTTTTTTGCGTCTTAAAAAAATTATTCCTCTGAAAGTGTACTAGGTAACTTGTCAGTGTTGTGATGGATGGTGACTTTACCAATTTGTTGGTTCACCCACGTGAGATACAAAGACAAACAGTCTAGTTGTGTACCAGACTTGGGAAAACTGTGTAAAGTACCACGTGGGTTCGATGACGTTGGTCGAGCGGATTTTTGGTGATTGGTTATTCGTCGCCGAATGGAATAAGAGCTGCTGAGAGTAGACTCGTACAAAGGCTTTATTACTAATAAATAGTAATAAATACAACAGGTTGTTGGTTGAGGCTTTAGCAGGGGCCGACTGTGACTGAACGAAGTACCGTCAAGACTAAACTTGTAACAGATCAAAAGTTGCTATATATGACGACGTCTTACCTTTGACGAAGCGACACGTTCTCTGCCTTTTATACCTTCCTTTTGATGTTCATGGGCAGGCATTGTACGGGCTCTGCTGGTCTGCGCACAGGTGACGCGTCGCAACTTTTTCTTGTGTGCCCCTTTTCTGAGAATCTTCTGTTTACGAGCCACATTGGAGTTGTATATGTATATTGGCCAGCAAGGGCATAGCCCGGGTACAATATGTGTATTCCGTACTCTGTATCGATAAGAAATTTCTAGAATGTTCTAAAGTTTTTGCGAGTTCTCTGCCTTTTGTCCCTCCCCTTTGATGTTCATGGGTAGGCAGGATACGGGCTCTGCTGGTCTGTGCAGTGGTGAAGCGTTGCAACTTTTTCTTGTGTGCCTCTTTTCTGAGAATCTTCTGTTTACGAGCCACATTGAGGTTCTATATGTATATTGGCCAGCAAGGGCATAGCCCGGGTACAATATGTGTATTCCGTACTTTGTATCGATAAGAAATTTCTAGAATGTTCTAAAGTTTTTGTGAGTTTGTCCTCTGACACTTGCCTCACTCCCGGACTTTTGGCTGGTGCTTATTAATTATTTTGAAATGGTACATTTGTGGGATGACAGTGTCACCGTTTCCTTGAAAAACAACCCAATTATCGAACGAGGGTAACATCGACGAAAGCCCGAGTTACAGAATTTGGCAGCAGTGTTCACGTAAAAGACTTACTAGCAACTAGCATACTACCTGATATAACAATATTATATTACCTACAATAATAATATCCTATAAACTACTATGCATATACAGCATAGTAAATACATTAAATTGAATACTTTGTTACTTTCGAAATTCCTTGCTGATGACAGGAATCCACGTGGGAGAGAAATCCAGACTGGGTTGACTGGTTGAATTGGCTGGCATAGACGCGTCGGCCGATTCCTTATATTTTCCCTAAATATATTTGATGCCCTTATTGATATGAATGTTAGGCTAATTCTGATTATTCCAGCAGACCCTGCATCGTGTAATGTTTGTGTTTTTTAATACGTACTTCCAGAGGTCTGAGGTGTAGAGGTGTTTTAGAAGTTCCTGTAATTTGGCTGATCCACATTGCCAAATCACAAAATATGTCGTCAACATGTCTTAACCACATAACCAGTCATCAGGAAAGGAGTTGGAAAGTTACAGCCTAGTTCAGTTTAATGTCTTTATGAGACTGTGTGACTTTGTTTTTTACATTCTTGATTTCTAACTTTTCATTTTGTAATTGTTGACTTTTAGGTAGAGTCTTTTATGAAACATGTATTGTGTTTGGTTTACGAACCTGGGCGTATACGAACTTTCCACCTGGGGTCGGCAAACATGATAATGCTGTGTATAATCCATTACGTCTCATATTTTGTGCTCTGAATTGCCCTGATGGAGTTACAGTGAATGGCGCTGTTGTTGGGCGTGGTTCTTTTGTTGCTTGTTATGTATTTCACATATTCCTAGCATGTAGTGTATCATCAGAAGTTTCATAGACAAGCTTGGTATATTGCAACCGTCCTTCCAAACTCTCGTCTCCTCGGTGTTTTTGTCAGAGTCACGGGTCAAACCCAGTGACGTACCAGGCGCTCATTCGTTTACAGCTTCGAATCTTTTTATAAGTGCGGAAGGAATTTTAGGAGAATTTGATGGTGGTCGTGGGTTTAGGTCGGTGAGCATGGAACTCCGATCCCAAGGGAATGTGTGGGGGAAGGCAGTGTTAGGGTTGATGTTTTACGTGGGATGAGCAGTCTCGAATAACAAAAGACGCCACTGGTGAGCTGGGAGTAGTCAACTTTATTGTCTCTTTGAGACAATGGAGACCAGTTACAGTTTACAGTAGGTAGTGCGTTGAATCAGCTGTTGTATGAAGAAATTTATGTAAATGGAGCACGGTCTACACGACCTGCAGATCGAAAACTTGAGAGGCTAAGAACTGTGCGGCTTCCGAGGGTAAGAAGACTTGAGAGATTGAGATCTTGAGAACTTGCGAGAGCGCCGCAACCACAGTCGCTCTTTAAATACTCCTGCATTACGTAACTTGTTATTGAATTTGAATTAATGCGGCGATGTGATTCGTTCTCCCACGGGCGGGAACGTACCCATAAGCCATATTCAAATTCAATTGGTCCATCGCAGTAAGGCGATGGTCGTAATGCAGTCGTCACCCGACATCTGCCAAGCTCTCTTGATCTCCCTTTGCTAGGCCTCTCCTTGTAAGAATGTAGCTTTTCAGCAATTATGTTGAGATAGGGGTACGTCAAGCATGTAAAACTCTAAGGCTAACACGGGCCAAATAAACAAGGTTTAAGTTTATGTGGGCCGCAAAAAAACAAAAACTTCAATTTTCATAGAAACGTAGGTTTATTTCGAAAAGTATAGTATAAAAAAAGAACAAGGATAACATTAATGTTTTCTTCCTGACACTTGGCATCTCTTCTCTGCTACTATCTTTCCTACTTCGGGGGAAATCTTGTTCCCAGTGATTACTTTCAAAACTGGTCCAAGTTGAATATCAGTAATTCTGGATCTGACAGGAGACTTATTTCCTTTCATAATTGTAAATAACTGCTCACACCGATAAGTACATCCAAACATGGAAATAATTTCATATGCGAATTTTCGAGTATTTTCAAACCTGGCAGGTAAATATTTGTAAAACCCAGGTACGCCAACTTCACTTAATTTTGCCTTCAAATCTGAATTGCACTGGATCTCAATTACCTCCATTTGCATTTGATTAGGTACTGATTCTATATTTATTGAAAAAATTGGAGTAAAAAAAAGAAAGAAAACTTGTCTTCCAAAAATTTAAAATCTGCAAACCTTGTTTTAAATTCAGTTCTAAGGCTTAAAATTTTTGCGTATTTTTGATATGATGCGAGTTTCACCTAAACTCGATTTGTTCATGTTGCAAGTCGGAAAGTGCGTTAAATCTTCATTTTTCAACTGCTTTTGCCAAAGAACTAGCTTACATTTGAATGCTTTAACTTGGTCACACATGTTCGTAATGATTTGATCTTTTCGTTGCAGTTTTAAATTTAAATCATGTAAGTGTTTTGTTATATCAACCATGAAGGATAAATCTTGCAACCATACTGTGTCAAAAAACTGGCTTGTGTCATGATTTTTAGTTATTAAGAACTGACATATTTCTTCTTTCAAGTCCCAGAATTGTTTAAGAACCTTGGAGCAGGACAAACCGGAATATTCGCTGTCTAATTCACTTAAAGCAGAGAACTGTCGCTGATTTAAGCTTCGAGATCTTATGAAATTGATGATTTTTTTGATAGATGTCAACTCATTTTCCATGTTTATTACCTTCGCGCATAATACTTCTTGATGTGTCTTGAATCTGTCATAAATTTCACTTTGTTCTTTTTGCAGTAATGCCACGAAACCATTGTTTTTTCCGGTTATCGAAGGAGCTCCATCTGTAGCTACAGAAGTTAATTTTGACAGAGGTAGATTGT